ATAGAAAATTGTGTGTGTGTGAGTTTTGCAACATAGCTGCTTAGAATTGAATTAAATTTAAAAATTGATATTATGTGGCAATCCCATTTTTAGACTCTTCCCCATGATGCTTATATTGTTTGTGTTAATATGTCTAGGCAGTGGCAAAGCAGGGCTTTTAAAATATACATTTACTTAGCCTTTTTACTTGTTATTTTAATTTGAATTGTATTTTTCCAAACCCTTTTTTCTGAAGTGTTTTAGTTAGATTGCAAATAGTAGTCCAATTCTATTTAGATTCTTATAAAGAAAGTGTTTCCAGTATATTTAAGGTCTTGTTCCACCTCTTTTATATTCCCTCCCCAGCACGACCTCTCTTAGTATTTCCTCATAATTATCATTTGCATGTTATAAAAGTTGGGTCCTTCAGAAGTACTTTTTGGACATCAGTAGACATTTGTTAAGTTTGATAAACTAACACTATGCACAATAAATAAGGGGGTAAGAATGAAACACAGGAAATGAAACAAAGTTTTCATCGTTTTGGGTGTCTGAGTATGAATGCATTTGGTGCCTTTTCATAACCTTTGGGCAGTTTGATATTAGCCCAATCTTCCATATTGTGAGGCTTGCGTGCTTTGACTGCTTCGAGATACAGGACAATGAAGCAATGCCTTTTATATCCTTGTTTGTGTTAAAAGAATTTTAAAGAAAAACCTTAGACTAATTAAAGAATGTTGTAATCCATGGTGAATGCAGACCAGAAACTGCATCATGTAGCCAGTAAGTGGCTTTGATATCATCAGGTGTAGTTCAAATGATGGTGTGATGTATAACTGAATATGTTGATGTTCTTCAGGATTAGAGTAAGGTTCAGATGAGCTTCCAGAAAGGTGGATTACAAAAGAGAATACATAAAGCTTTGGTGTGTTTTACATGCATTTGGATTAGTTGTTCAAGTGTAGTAAAATAGTATTCTTACAGGTGGATGGCTTATTCAAATCTGGTTTTGTTATGCATGTGAACATGAAGCTGACAAGCTACTATACTTGCTGCTTGTGACAGAAAATGCTGCCTGCCCTGTTTCATTGTTGCAGTACCTCAGGATTATGCAGATTAAATCTTAAAATATATTGTAGAACCTGAGGGCCATAGAACAGTAGAACCAGGATTTTCTGACCTGTCCCACATCATAGCAGTCTGGAACAGGTTGCTGGTAGAGACAATTTTCTTTGCTAAAATTCTCAGATAAAGTAATAGACATGAATTTGTGACTATACCAGTCCCAAAATGATGCTTTTTGACCCTAGTTCAGTATAAATATGAAAATCTACCCCACCAGGAGCATAGGTATTAGTATAAGGGCTAACACTGGCATGTGCTTGCAGGTTTGTGCATAGGCTTACAGCAGCAGCAGTGGCAGCTCCTCAGACTATAACATTTCAGTTTCATTGCAAACACTGGTTAGCAGAGCAGTTGCTACCAAAATTAAAGAGCTTCTTACCAGTGAAAGAAGTTTGCATAGCATGGTTAAGCAATCCATCAGCAGTGTATACTTACTGCCATTGCCACAATAAATTGTGATAAGGTAATGGCAGGCACTCTTGGATGATACTGATTATCTAAACCTTCTTTAGTCTAGGTTTTGGACTGGTTATGGAACTGAGTAAGTCATGGTCTCTGTCAGGGGAGGAACAGGAAGAGTGTCACCCTGTTTATTCAGAAGAACAGTCACCTTGTTTATTCTTCTGGCTCTCTCATTGGCTTTTTATGCCATTGACCATGGCATCTTCCTTGATCTGCTTGGTGAATTGTACATTAGAGACACTGTGTTTGAGTAGTTCTGGTGCTACTATAAAATTCAGAAAGTGACTGTTCTTTTTGAATTACCTCAGTTATTAAATGATGAGTGGGATGAGGGCTAGTAAACAGAGTGAATCCTGACAAGGTAAAGTGCCGATAGGTGAATGATTTCCCAGTCTGGGATATAGGTTTTTTGCCTATAAGGGTGAGGTTTCACTTCTCTTGAACTCTAGGTTTCTTCTGGATTCATCTTCATTGCCAGAACTCCACGTGGCAGTTCAGAATGCCTTCTGCCAGCTGCAGCCTCCTGGATAGTGATAGTTTGGTCAGAGTGGCGTAGGAGCTAGTAACCCCAAAACTTATTATACAATACACTCTGTATGGGACTGTCGTTAAGGTTGTTTCAGAAGTTGCAGCTAGTGCAGAATGCAGTTGATGTACTGATGTCAGGAACTCTTCATTTTTGGTATGTTTTGTTATGAGTGTATAAAGTCCTAAACAACTTTGGACCAAGGTATCTGAGAGAACACCTGATCACTGAGTTCATCAGCCTCCTTCTTGTTGATGACTCTTTGTTTTCAGCACACACTGACTTTTCTTTTTTTACTAAAACCTCTTCTGAATTACCAGCTATGGCTTTATTGATACAATCTGATATTACAACCTTTACTTCAGCGTTTTAGTTATTATTTGTACTGATAATAAGAATTTCTCCCCTTTCTAATGGTTACCACTTGGATATTTTAGTGGATAAAGAGTGATATAGAAATCCTTAAACAAACACCAAAGATTGATCTATCCAGATTATGCTGGCAGCATAATTAATTGGCTAGTAGTCTTTGCGTCTTATACAAAACATGTTGCAGAAGGGGGTGTTTACCTATTGATTTTTGTGTGTGTCTGCTTCTGCATGGATGATTACCTTACCTGAACATTTAGAAAACTTCTTGTCTACTTTCTTACAGGTTTGGCCAGTTGTTCACCCAGTGGACACAAAGCAAGAAAATTGCTGCTGAGCCCCATAAAATTTAGGAACCTCAGTGTTCTAGTGGAAGAAATAACGGTGTGCTTGCTATCTCTTTAAGAGCCAAGCCAGCATGGGGAGGTGGCTTATGAATAAACTATAAGAATCAGTTTTATAGCAGAAGGCTGATGATGTGATTTGCTTGTAAGATCAAGCTGAGAACAGTCCTGGGATTGATGGAACTGGCAAAAGTTCTTGGTTGAGTTGTACGTGCTCCTTTTTACCCTGTCCAATTTTTTCTGCCCTGGGCTTTCTCTGTAAAGTGCAGTAATACATAGTTAAATTTTAAAGAAACTCTGTAGATGATTTCTGTTCTCAGTAGCCTCTCTGATCATCACTTTTGGGGTAATAGCTTACAGAGTCAAATAGGAAGTTTATCCCTAGTATTCCTAGCAGGTGCACTGGAACAATTGCTTTGTTGATGCCTCAACTGTCCCTTGGAACAAGCAACAGTTGTGAGTGGGAGCAATGAGAACTACACTGTAACATTGCTTTGAGTTCTTTGAGAGAGTGACGAGCAGAGGACAAGGATACACATGGAATGATGGTGGTGGTGATGATGAATATGTAGGTTTTTTACCCAAATATTGGTTGCATCAGGTAAACTTACCTTTAATAAATTGGACCTGGTAAAGAGTTGCTTGTGATCTGCCATAGGGCAAGAAGGATGTAACCAACTTACAATCTCAGCAAAAAAACAAGTTTGGAAGGCAAATTTCCTTTGATAATTTATAAGTTTACCAAAATGAAAGCAAGAAAGAAGTCATTCAAGCAGGCTAGTTGGCTAAGTATTACAATGTATTAATTATTGTAATAAAAGAGCTTTGTTTAAATTATTCTCTGTCTGATACTTTCTGCTCTTAATTTTATTCATCGTAAATAATGTTTACAGGTAGTATGATAATTTATAACTTCCTGAGATTGTAAGATACTCCTTTTGCATTCTATTAAATTAGTTTCCCCTATCTAGTGAATTGACATTCATGGTTTATTAATGAATTTATTACCGTTAAATACTGCATGCTAAGCTACATGATACATTTATTATGTTGCTATCCATGTATTTGAGTACTCAGTCTAAAAGCTGCATTGGATGTGTGTCTTAAGGGAAGGGTCCCAAGACTGCTGCCCTGATATGTGGAGCTGGCCTTGGCTCAGGAAATTTCTCCCATGCTGGGAACTGAAAAGCTGACACCCCGGAACCTAATATTAATGACAAGTTAGTCATGGTTAAACATCTTTGCACACTGATTTCAGTGAGATTGTAGTGTGCTTAACTTGTTGTGCAATCAGTTCTGCTCAAGTCTACTTAGAAGTAAGTCTCATTAAATTCTGTTAAATTTATGTTAATTCATAAACTTAGATGAGCTTAATGGAACTTACTTTCAAGTATTGGATTATAGGACTGGAGCCTGATGCTGGATCCAGTCCAATATGTTTACTATTGATGGTAGATGAATAAAGCTGTGTTAAATAAGCATCCTGCCCTGCAGAACTGGAATGAGCATGTGACTGGCAGGGAGGAGTTGGAGGGCTGCATTTTGGTGGATTTAGAGTAGCCTACTTGGTTTGAAAGATCGGTGCAGAGAGAGGAATGCTCTGTCCCTCCTCCACCATCCTGCTTATTCACCTGCATGAAATTACAGGTACTCTTCCTCAGGCAACTCCTCCTGTCCCATAGTGGATAGACTACTACTTAAATAGAAGGCTAAGATAGATCAGCATAGCTTTAAGCACACTAAATAATGCTAAGTGCCATTATTTTATTTCTGTGTTACCTTCATTAAATGGTATGATATCTACACACAGTTATGAAAATGTCTTTACAATTTTTCTTGTGCTTCTCTGTATCATATATTCATTATTATATAAAACTGCTTTTAAACGCACTGAAGTCTGCAGTATATTTCTTCAGAAATATCAACTAGCAAAAGTGGTGGGAGCTATAAAGTTTATACATTTCACCCAGAAGTGATTACACTGAAAGAGATCATACATAGTAACACAAAATGGCTGCTATAAATAGACTATATTGCCCAAGCTGGCTCTTGATACACTTTCAGTCCATTCACATTTTATGGAAACAAAAGGACTCTACTTTTTGTATTCACACACATATCCATATGCATGTTTCACACCTATTTAAAATTTTTTTAATGTGTATGTTAGAAATATATATATATTCCTTTCTTAGGAGATAGCTTCATGGAGTTCTATTTTTGAAACCATTACTGAGGTGTAAAAGCCAACTCTGCTAGATGGATATGTGGAAGACAACTAAGATTTGGGCTCAATCAAGTATTCTTTTAGAGTCCAGAGCTTTTTCTATTGGGGTGAGTGTTCTAACATTGTGTTAATATTTATTTTTCATGTGGGGTGTGGAGTGAGGGACACTGGTGAAGCTTCTGCTTTCAACAGGTAAATTTTGCCAACTTGATATAGTTTCATATTGAAAGTACTGGGGTTGGGATATAGTTACTGGACTTGTAGAAGAAATACCTGAGGAAATTCATATGGACCAATAGACTTGCTTGTTTTATCAAGAATTGCTAGATAGTACCTATTCCTGGATTCAGACACAAATTGTTTAAGTTGGATAGTATATACTGTAAGAATTCTGGCACCTTCTGTAAATTTGGGGATTCTGTGAACTATATCTCAGTATATTTGGTTCTTACAATCCCCTATCAGGATTTTGGATCACAGTGGTTTACTAATTTATATGGTGAATCCAGTATGGGATCATAAAATGGCATAGCTATGTAACAGGATTGCACAACCCACAGGTGGCCCTTATTTGCAGCCAGTGTGGCCTCTCAAGCCAACAGTACCCTTTTCTTGGCAGGTAAAGGTCTTATTTGCATATGATTAGCATGAAGAGCAGTTCCCACTGAAGAGAGAGGTTGGGTCCTAGGAAGGAAGCTGCTGATTGAGTCAGTCCTATATATGTCTGAGCCTTGTTCTACAATGACCCATCTTGGTTACTTCTAAGTAGGCACACAGGACCTTGGCATTTATTGTTGTAAGCCGCCCCGAGGCTTCGGCGAATGGGGCGGCATAAAAATGTTTTAATAAATAATAAATAAATAAATTTAGAATCCTGTTTAAAAGTGCCCCTGAGTAATTTCATTTCTGCTTGCTTAGGAGCAGTAAAGTTTCCTGCTGCTAGTGGCAAAGGAGAAGCTACTCACTAATGGTGTAGTGTGTGGGTGTGCGTGTATACCCCCCCCCACACACACACACGTGCATGCATCTGCACTCATGCATATGGCACCTTTCCCCCACCCCACCTTTAGGACCAGAAAAGTTGTGCACCTTTGCTATGTAATCAGTCTGTGTACTCCCTTGCTCATTGTATTCTGCAGAGCATCTTAGGTTTCCTTATTCACATAAGGTATCATAAATGTTCTTTGGAGTTAAGATTCTGATGCTGAAATCAATTGGATGTTTTTTAACTTTTCATGGGCATGATGTGCTTTATTTGCAAGGCTTTTAAGGTGATATGAAACAAACTTATGTTTTGCCAATTGTTTCAATCTAAGCTGCAGGTGGCGCAGTGGTTTAAACCGCTGTGCTGCTGGGCTGGTAGATCAAAAGGTCACCAGTTCGAATCTGCACAACAGGGTATGTTCCCGTTGCTCCTTCTCGGCTCCTGCCAACCTTGCAGTTCGAAAGCATGCAAATGCAAGTAGATAGAAAGGTGCCACTTTGGTGGGAAGGTAATGGCGTTCCATGCACTTCGGTTCTTAGTCATGCCGGCCACATGACCACAGAGACTGTCTGCAGACAAACTCTGGCTACCTCAGCTAGGAAACAGATGAGCACCGCCCCCTAGAGTCAGGCATGACTGGACTTAACGTCAAGGGGAAACCTTTACATTTAAGCAGCAATTACCCTTTAACAATTGGTTAAGCTGTGCATATGTGCCCGCCCACCCCTTGAGATCTGCAGGAGAGGCCCTTCTCCGGGAACCCTCCGTGAAGGAAATTAGGAGGGTGAGTACTCAGAGGAGGGCTTTCTCTGCGGTGGCGCCCAATCTATGAAATGCACCCCCCAGGGAGGGCCGCCTGGCACCGTCGTTATTTGTTTTTTGGCACCAGGCGAAGACCTTTGTATTCAAATGGCATTTTAATTGTTAATAGTATTTATTCATTGTATTCTTTGGCCAGGGCGACTTAATTTATACTGTTAATTTATATTAATTTAAGGAAGTTTATTTATGGGTGTGAGCCACCCCAAGGCTTCGGCGAATGGGGCGGCATAGAAGTCTCCTAAATTAAATAAATAAATAAATAAATAAATAAAGCAAGCAGATGGGAATTGTAGGACAAAACAAGTTGCCCACCCCATGTTAAGCACTAATATCCACATGTGGCATTTCACATTAATCCATTTTAATGCCATATTAAAACTGAGCAACTTTAATCACTAAAAGTAGTTTTGTATGTTGAATTATTTTTTGTATTGAATGTACTTCATTGTTTTTCTTTTTATTCAGGTGCCTGTTTTTTCTTTAGAACATCCCACAAAGAGCTAATGCTTGTGTCTTGAGGATTCCCAACACTTAGCAATCCTATAATATCTATCTGGATGTCACCACCTTTTCCTATGTTAACAGTTCTGAGCATGTTTTACTATATTTGCCTTCGGCGTCGAGCCAGGACAGCAACAAGGGGAGAACGGATGAACAATCGGAGAGCTATTGAATCAAACAGAGCCTTACCTATCAATGTTGAATTAATCCAATATGCCAAAGAAGTGTTGGATTTCAGTTCCCATTATGGCAGTGAAAACAGCATGTCATATACCATGTGGAATTTGGCTGGAACTCCTAACGTGTACCCCAGCTCTGGTGACTTCACACAGACTGCTGTATTTAGAACTTACGGAACATGGTGGGACATGTGTCCTAGTGCACGGTCACCTTTTACAAGAACACCCTCCAATTTCCATAGTCAAGACTACGTAGAACTTGCTTTTGAGGAACCAGTTTATCCTACAGCAATTCATGTTCTGGAAACATATCATCCAGGGGCTGTTGTTCGGATTTTGGCATGTTCTGCAAGTCCTTACTCCCAAAATCTTCCCAGTGAAGTAAGGTAATTCACCTTGTAAATTTTCCCTTCTGTTTCTTGATAATGAGATTTTTAAATATTTTTAAATATTTAAGAATTTCATTCTTAAAAGAATCTGTATAAAAAGTTTGATGTTTAAACATACATAACCTATTTTTTCTGACTGAGAGATAGTGGCAAACGCATGTAAACTATGGTTGAGTAAGATCACATTTGGGCAACCTTTTCTATTTTCAGCACTGGCTTTTGGATATAGCTTGAGGTGACTGAATAAGTAAAATACAAGAAGCCTAATTACAGTCAATTCATGCTTTGAATTGCCCAGTGAATCACTTAAGAAAAATGTAAAATACATTTGAGGTTTTTTGAGGCTGGAAAAAGCTTCAAGTTTCTGGTCATCCGATAACTAAGAGTTTGAAACCTAAAAGTGAATCCAACCAGTGATTACCTATATTAAGGCCTAGGACTGCTTGAATAATAAAGGAGGAAAATACAAACTTAACAGTCAATAAATAGCATGCAACAACATGATCATACAACCTCCTTTGATTTCTGTATAGTACTTAGTATAAGACTGAGTCAGACTGGGAAGTTAACATTTTGAGGTCTGTTGTGGCCTGACCATGCCTGGCATGTTCTTTCTTCAGAGATATATCTATAGAGTGAGAGAAGCTGGGATTCATTCCACAGGTGCTCCTAGGCTCTTAAAGCATTTTTCTGATACTTTGATTTATTTTTAAGGTGGCTAGATTTCTGTAAGGGAGATTGAATTTGCCATGCTAAAAGATTAAAATACTTGACACACTTGGAGCAAGTACTTTCATTCCTTGCAAATGCATTCCTTTGCAGTAAAAGGGTAAGAAAAGAGAAGAAGAACTTCAACTAGTATTTTTTGACCATAACAGTTAAATAACGGTGCTATTAGTATTGCATCTGAAGTCTATAAAGGTACTTATCAAATTACCCCTAATATTTTTAAACAGTTTCTACTGGTATTGGAGAAAAACATACTATACCTTTGTGATATATTTAGTTAAAGAGCAAATGCACAAAATCTCAAGTTTAAAATCTGTTATTTCTCCCCAATGGTTCTCTGGTAGGAAATCTGGGAAATGTCTCTATCTGAGGCCTTGGAAAGCTGTTGCCAATCAGAATACTATGAGCTACTGGAAACCCTGCTGGGTCAGTGGTTTATTTATGAGTCTGCTTTATATGTTAATTACTGTCATAGCTCACACTTCACATTTCAGTCCTCAAAATTATTATTAATTAGTCATATTCATTTTGCAGATTGAAATCTGTAAACTTCTATTCATGTATGTTAAATTACATACATGTAGAGTGCAATAGTACATAAGCATGGATTCCTAGAGATGAAATGGACTGCTGCTGGGATCAAGTTCCACTCTTTTTTTCCTGCTTGCGACATCAAGCTCAAAATGTGGCTGGGTATAGTAGTATGATAGTAGATGAATTGGGGTCCACAGAAATCCTATTTAATGAAGCATTTCGATCCTTTTTATTCTTAACACACTTTTTCTTAGATGAGTCTTAGTTTGAGTTTCTTGTTATTCAGGTAGATTTACATAAATGAAGGTTTTATCCTCAGAGTTACCAGATACATAAAGAATAGTGCTAACAATTGAATAAGGAATTTATTAAAGCAGACCAAAGATTTAGTAAGTACTTCTTTCCTTGTTGTAGGAGCCGCAGAACTTGTTTCATCACAATCGGGTTAGATGGCTAAGGTTTTTTTTTAAATGATTCTCAATCTACATTTTAATGAAACTGATTTTCTGACCATCATTTATTCTATGTTGTTTTTGTAGTGTAGCATATTGGAAAATGATGAAGTTATATCCTCTGGAACTGTGTTCACATATATAGGGCTAACTTTCTTAGCAGATTGCTAGGCTCTGTATTTGCATGTTATCAAAGCCATTTACATATAGGCATGTTTAATACTTGGTTCTATGATGCCAAAACAAGGAAATGGGTTGGGTGCAAGACATGCAAAGTAGTCTTGCTTGTTCTTCTCCTTGTTGTGAAGATCATAAATCAATCCCTGCTAGATCACAAGAAGGTCCATCTAGTCCAGTGTCCTGTTTCCCGTAGTTAGAAATCAGGACATGAAGGAAATACACCTCCCCATCAAATGATATGCTGTCTCATGCTACCTCTGAACTTCCCTATCCCTGACTAATAGTCATTGTTACATGCATGATAGATATATTTGTCTCTCAAATTCATTGAATCTGTTGAGATTGTGAGGAATGGTGGAGGTTGATGCTGCACTTCTACCTGGCTCTCTTCATTGCTAGGTGTGAAATGTGCTTAAGCAATGAGTGACAATATGGACTTTACCCAAAATTCAGTGGAAAAGAGGGAGCTTTCTTGAAAATTTCATGGCAGGAAATCTTAATTGTTGAGGGGGTGCTAGAGTGGAGAACATTGACATGAAGGGGATAAAGAGAAGATGGCTAAGTGGTCTTTTGCTCTTACACAAGAGCCTGGGGGAAGTGGGGGACCTTGCAAATGTAGTCTGGCATTCATAAGGGCTAAGAAAATTATTTCCCTTTGTGTTCTGAGCTGGGGGTAGGGGGAATTTCCCACCACCACTATCCACCCACCTTGACTTCTTTCCATGGTGGCCTAGTATAGTATGAACACACCCTGTGTGAGAAGGGGGAAAAGGAGGTTCAGCACTCCTGTTTTCAGGGATAGCCCTATATATAGCATAATACCCACTTCCATTCTAAAGAGAGATTCAGAAAAGGCTTAGGAAGCTTTTTTGAGGCCAGGAAGAAGAACATTCTTCATAGCTTCTCTATTTCTTCAGATGAACTCCATCACGTTCCCACCATTGTATGTTGTATTATTGTGCAATTAAGTCAGAAGTTTTAATTTATCATGAATAGCTCTGTTTCTTGTATGCTGAAAAAGATATTGTGACCACACTATGGATCAAATGGGGCACACAATTTGTGTAGTTCTGATTGCAGTAGAAGAGAAAAAAAATGACTTTTTACTTGCAGTAAACCACTGTCCCTGCTCTTAGTGTGACCTTTTGAAATAATCTGTTTTCAGTTTGTTGGGTCTGTGACTGTTGCTCTCCTTTTCAGTCTGTCTAGTCAGAGCATTTACTTTTAAACTGAACTTCTCTGTCTGATATTTATTGTCTCTTGCCAGTGAAACTTGCCCTTTGCTAGAAATTCCTATAGTTCTTGTCATAATAATACTTTTTGATTTATGCTCTAGAGTGGCCTTGAAACTTCTCTCTGACTTGTGCAGGTACTCATCTTGTGTGTCATTTATTCCCAGAATGTGACCAGCCTAGCATAATTGTGTTGTGATGTGTTTTGCTTAAATATTGCCAGTTGGATGGTTGTACTTCATTATTCTGACAGGAGGTTGTCACTGAATATCTGTTCTTTATTAGCAGAGGAGCACAGCATTCAGGTGCTGATTGTGAGCCCTTTCACAATAGAGCTTGCAAACAGTTTCATATGCACCGTATCCAGCTTGGTCCTTTTTATTTAAAAGTGTTTTGGGAAGTTATTATGATTACTAATCCTCCTCTCTGTTTTATTCTCACAACTGCAGCACACCTGTGAGGTAGGTTAGGCTAAGAGTCAATGACTGGCCCAGTGAGCTTGGCTGATGGCTGAGTGGGGACTAGAACCCAGATCTCCTGAGTCCCATTTTAGGGTCGAACAATCATCTCACACAGGTGCCTTCAGTTATAACCCAAAGAGGTTGCCTACTAGAAGATTTTCACAATGACCACCTTTTTATTTTGCTAAGGGTCCTGCCTACGTTCTAGGCATAGTATAGTCCCCAGTTTGCCATCTGGGTAGTTTGTCCAAGATGGATAGCCCTAAGCAACTTGACTAATGTGAAGTTCTAATGTGTGAAGGAACTTGGTGTTGAGTCCCACTCTTCTCATGAAAGATGGTCATTTGGGCCCTACTACAGTAGACCCCTAGATTGTTTGCTCCTACTGAAACCATTCATATATACAGTAAACTCTCAATGAACTGGCACCCATAGAGATTGGTATATGCTGGATAAATGTAGTTTCTGGTTGCTTGAGAGTTACTATTAAAAATACGCTTAAATAATACTATGCCCCATACCATACCATAAACTCTATATTGACTTGATATTAATATTGAAATTCAGTAATTAAAATCAAATTAAGACAAGTAAAGACAAACTTCTACCTTCTGAGACTGAGCCTTAATGTCATAGATCGTTGATGAACCAACCTTAAATTCCTCCATGAGCACTGCACCACTCTCACCTTTCTCAAGCCTCTCGCATATTTCCATCTTCTGCTTGAGGGTAAGCACTATGTGTTTATGCTTACTTGGAACCTATTTTGGCATACTTGGGGTTGGGTGAAAACACAAAATTTGAATAAGAATAGATCCCAATGACCAGTGTGTTTACACACAGTGAATTTGTGGGAGTAGGAGACAAACATGTGGTGCATGAAGTGTGGGCTTACTCATGGTGTGCTGCACCAAGTTTAAACTTGCATTCCCACTAGAAATTGATTTTATGTTAATTTTTATTTAAAGTATTATTTCTTCAGGTTTTTTGCTGGTTGAGAGTGCTGGTCACTTGAGTTTTGGTTAACGGAGAATCTACTGTATTAGCTAACCCAACCTGGTGCCTTCCAGATAGGCAGCAGGACTGGAGGGCACCTGCTTGGGGAAGGTTGCAATAAATTATTCAAGTAAAATTGCTCTTGAAATTACTTCAGAGTTCAGTTTTGTTGAGCCATCTCGAAAGCACCACTGCACTAAATTAAAACTTAGTATTTTTAACATATTGGCAGACCTAATCTGGCCCTGCACACTACTTTCAGAACTTCAGTTTTGCAGGGGAGATGGTTTATTTCTTAAGCTGTTAAACTACAGGCTAGTTGTTTACCAAAAGAACCATTTTTCCAAATAAGGACTGCCTGTTTAAGATCCAGGATTGCAAACTGTCCAAGAAAAAAAATCTCCAGCCAAAAAAATATGTCCAGTCTCACAACCAGTGTCTAAAATACACAGATGCAGTAAGAGTCCCTGTTATGATTCCATCTACAATTACCTGTAATCTTTCAAATGGACTGTTTAATTGCCCTTTTACTGAAATGCATCTTCACTATGAAGTTATTCTCAACATCCATTTCCTCCCTACCACCCTGCCTCCTGGATCTGTGATACGTTAAAAGGAAATTAACACAGAAGAGTCAGTGAATAATGCTAATGTATTATCTAATCCTTTTTTCTGTGAGATACTCATTAAATTTTGCGGAATAGGACAGGTAAAACATTTGATGCTCTTCATTCCTGTAGTTTCAAAATGTAGAACTTTAGTGCTAATAAAATATTTTTTGGTACTGATAATGACATTATATGCATGCTTTTTGTTTTGTAGATGGGAAATCCTTTGGTCTGAGCCTCCTTCCAAGGTGAATTCACCTCAAGCACGACGTTTTGCACCTAGTATCAAACAAATAAACTTTCCTACAAACTTAATTCGTCTGGAAATAAACAGCTCCCTTTTGGATTATTACACTGAATTGGATGCAGTAATACTACATGGTTTAAGAGAGAGGCCTATGCATTCACTTAATACTTCCATTATTGATATGAATGATCTGGATGATGATGATGATGATGGAGAGAGCGAAAGCTTCAGCATGGATAGTCTTAATAAGCAGTTTGGTGCTGCTTCCTTCAGGGAATGCTCAACTAATGGATACTTTGATAAATTGCCTTATGAGGTAAAGACTGGGGGAACTTATTAGAATGAAGTGGAATTGTCATAATGAGTTTGGATATACAAGTTTATTATAGGTTCTCACATGTAGATGGTAATGGTTTCACTTATGCCTGTTCAGAATCCATCCATGATTTTTTCTTTAAAAATACTCCATTAGTATGTTTTGGTAAAGCATTGGCACTTCTCACAACGGTGTTAAACAGTCCAGGTATTGTTTCTTCAGCTGCTAAGATCCAACATGAAGCCCACTGATGTCCAATTATTCCTGAATAAAACTTCTCTTTTTTCATGACCTATTACAGGAAAGAACCCTTTGAAACCTAATTTATCATTTGCCCTTCATGGCTTTGTAAAATGCTTCTTAAAATGAATATATCTTGTTCATTAAGTTCTGTTGATCTTAGAGGAAAGTGTCCTATTTTTGGAACTGTTATTTTAAGCATCTATTAATCCAATTGCTCAAAACAGGGGTGTATTTTTTTTCTCTAAAGGGGAAAGTTTTTGCTTTAAATCCTCTGTTAAGATAGTAAAATACCACAGCCAATCTGTTTCCTTTCTGTGCAATTCTTACGTAGGAAGATTACAAAAATTTCTCCAAGGTTCTTTTAAGTTTTAAACCTGTTTTAAAAGATAAAACATCAGAAATAGCAGCTGCCATATTTTTTTCAGTAATGCACTAGTTTGAAAGAGATTCTGCATGTTATAAGATTAGCTTTCAAAAGCAGATACTCAACAGCATTTTGGGAGTCTTCCTGAATTCATCATGTCTCCTCACATATTCATTATAGTATCAAATTGTGCTTTATGCTATGGTACACACACTCTTAAAAAGCAAATTTCTGACAGACACCAGACTCTAAACTAGCAATGATTAATAGCTATTAGCCTGTAGGCTTGGAACCAGTTGTCTTTGTTTAATCAAAAGCAAAAAAGTACTTCAGTTACATCTTAATGTCATAATCATAATGACATTTCATTATATCCTTTTCATTTCAGGTATTATGAAGTGTAATTTTAGTCTAAAGTGGGATTAACTTTTCTGGTGGTGATACTGACATGTTAAGAGATTTATATCAGTGATGCAGAATTAGTGGTGTGTAGATTATCAGATACATTAAAATGAAATTAATTAAAAGGAGCATTATTGAGTTTTTCATAGTTTTACTAACCATGCTATAACAGAGAAACAGAAGAAGCAAAACTTTGTTCTCTTTGAAGAGTAGTATTTCCTAATTCTTTTATGGCCTTCCTTTACAAATTTCATTGCAATTGCAATGAATACTGTCAGTTTGAAACTACATGTTGTGCTTTTTCAACTAGTTGCTTTGTAGACTCACAAGTAACGACATTCAAACTGTTTCTGCTTGATTTTTTTGTAAAAATTAAAAAAATCTTCTAAGTCATAGCAGCACATAGTATTAGACTATGTGTTAACTATGTATTAGGAGTAAGTAGAAGGGAGACAACTTGCTTCTGTAATATTTCTGACCTGATTCCATCCTCCACTGCGATGACACCGTCATTTCTGCCAGTCACCATAATTATTCCTCAGTCTGTTGGGTTTTTCAAATTTTCATATAAACAACCTCAGCAAAAGTATTTGTTTTGGCCACAGTTGCACTGAAATAATCAATGTGAATGTTAAATAAGCTTGATTTTTCTAGTGATATATGTCAAACTAAAATACGAGCTTGAGATGTTTTCCTGGTGTCTTGCTTTGACTGGGTGGCAACATAGAATAGAATATATCAAGTGGCCATATTCTGAGCAGCTAGAAGATGAGCTTTTATTTTTATTTCTGATATGACTTGGTTTGATTTTATGAAGTGGTACTATTTTATTTTTAAAACTTATATCCCATATATCTTCATCTATGCAGTTTGGAAGAGACTGTTCTGTTGTATGTGTTTGTATTTATAGATGGTACAATCAAACCCTATTAAGAGTCATGGAATTTAGTGAAGCACATGTGTTATTCTCCAAGTGAAATTAACAGGACTTGAAAACTGGGTCATGCCCCATAATAATCATTGCTGAAAAATAACTGATTTTGTATCTGCTTATTGGAGAGTTCATGTGTGCACCAAAGGACTTAACAAGAAGTTGCATGAAAAATGTCTTAAAGACAGAAAATAAAAATTTAAAAAACCCCTTTGTTGGAAGAGTGCAGGGAAATACAACATGGAAGAATTGCATCCTGCACTTTTTCCCTAAGCTGTATTACATTTTTAAACATATCTGTGAAATAATACGAAAAGAAAGGTGTATGATATAGTTTGACTTTTAAATATTAGATAATAATTGGTGTAATCTACTTTCCTGTATTCTCAATTCAGCTCATCCAGTTGATTTTGAGTCACCTTACCGTCCCAGATCTGTGTAGATTATCGCAGACTTGTAAGCTGCTATATCAACACTGCTGTGATCCTCTACAGTACATTCACCTCAGTCTGCAACCTTATTGGGCAAGGATAAATGACACAGCTCTAGAATACTTACAGTCTCGCTGTATCCTTGTCCAGTGGCTGAATTTATCTTGGACGGGAAACAGAGGAGCCATTTCCCTTTCAGCTTTTGGCAGGTCAGTGTTCTCAATAATGATATATTGTACTAAATATATGAGAATTCTCTTCCTCCCTGGAATTCATAAGGTTTTCAAAAGGAACACAAATGTTGTTTTCTTTCTTATTAACCCGACCCTAAGTTAGCAATAGTATTCAAAACTCATAAACAGGTTTCTACACTTTGATTTAAGACAGCAGAAGCACAAAAGCCTTCTTTTGCAGACATTTTTAGGATACATACTTTATTCCAGCCTACCCAAAGCCTATGCTCTTTAAATGCTTTGAACCTCAACTTCCACCAGTTCCAAGCACCACAGCCAATGTTCAAGAAGACTGGGAGTTGTCCTAAACATCTAAGAAGCACTAGGTAAGGAAGTTTCCTTTTCTGCCTATTGCAGAGTGTTGATCACCTTCTGGGGTGGAGGTGGGGGTGTGTGGATGCCATGATTTTTTTATTTTAATCTCTCCATTCCCCTGCTTCCTGTTGGACAGTTGGCTGTCTTTGACAGCTCAGATGATATTTAACTAGGGGTGGAAGGGTGAATGGGTCACTTGCCTCCTTTGGTGCTTCTGATTTCTCACATTGGGACAACTTCAATCTTCGTTCAGGAGGAAAGTAGGAAGATTTACTGGATCACCTACTGCTAGTTAGAGAAGGCTAACTTATCTGAAGGAAAACTTTTTAGATAGAAAAACTAAACTTGAGAACTGCTAAATTTATTATGTAGATTGCAGCCTTAACAAATAATTACAGGTCCTTTGCATAATTACCCAATGTGAGAACAGTGGTTTCAGTACTAGGGTTTACAGTTCAATGGGGAATTATGATGACAGGACATCTGTTTAAACCATCATTTTTGAAATTGATTCAAAAAACATAAATTTAGGATTCCATCTTTAATGCACACCTTAATATGGTGAGGGGGTTTGAGAGTGTCAGAGAAGTCAAAAGCAATGTTAGTACGGGGCCAGACTAATCTGGTCTCCTAGCAGGATCGGCCAAGACAGAATGGTTAAAATTGAGGCAACAGACTACGAAGCACCCACTTTTTTCAGGAGTAATGGTCACATCAGCAGAAGAGAATGGATAGCTTCAACGGTGATTGGGGCAGAGAAATTACTGAAGAGCAGCTATTGGGCAGCATCAATAGCTGAAAGTGACATTGGCAAAGGATCTTTCATAGACAATGGCAGCGAAGCTCAAGCTGACTCTGGTTAGTACTGTGCAGAAGGAGGGAATGGTAAACTGTTTCTGAATATTTCTTACTTTGTAAAGCCTATGATGAAGCAGTGCAAAATGAAACAAGAGATAGTGCCAGAAGATGAGACTCTTAGGTTGGAAAGCACTCGAGCAACTACTGAGGAAGAGCAATGGACAAGTACGAATAGTGCTGTTACTGAAGATGCAACTAGATTAGACCCAAAAGGAAGCCTAGTAGCTAGCATGCACAGAAGCAAAAGGAAAGTCTGATTCAGCACAACATATACAATTGGAACATGGAAGATGAGAAGTATGAATCAAGGGAAACTGACAACTATAAAGCAAGAAATGAAATGGTTAAACATCACAGTACAAGGTGTGAAAGTGCTAAAGTGGAGTGGAATGGGTCATTTTCAGTCGCAAACATGAAGTGTTTTACTCTGGAAAGGACAAACTCCAGTGAAATGGAGTGGCTCTACTATTCTGACAAGATATAGCCTAAACAATAGGGAGTGTAGTATAAAGTCTGACCAACAGATGTTGAAAAAAAAGAACTTTGCAAGCATTCAAGAGGAAATTGCTAACACACCAAAACAAGAAATACTGGTCATCATAGGTGACTGGAACGCAAAAGTAGAATCTAGTAGCAAACAAAGCAGGTGAATGATTCCTGGAATTTTGTGAAGCCAACCAACTATTTATTTATTGCAGATTCATTAATTAAGCAACCAATCAGATAACTGTATACATGGACCTCACCTGATGGTCAATATAGAAACCAAATAGATGACATAATTGGAAATAAGAAATGAAGAAGCTGTATTCTTGCTGCCAAAACAAGACAAGAAAAGAAATAGACCGTGACAGTCAACAATAACCTTTTATATTAAAAATTCAGAGTAAAAGCATAGTGCCAAAACACAGCTTTAGTAACATTTCTGAGGAATTTAAACTCCACATAAAGAAACATTTGCATTACTGAACTCAGTTGACTGTGAATCAGAACAGCCAAGGACTGAAACCAGGGACATTATTAAAGAAGCATACAGAAAGACTGCAGCAAAAAGAAAAAGCCTGGATGAGGGAGGAAATTCTTACAATTTCTATGGACCATTAAGAAGCAAAAGAAATAGGGACAGAATCCTTAATGAAATTGTTTAATGGCTACCATGAAGGGGGAAAATACTTATTACAATGGCCAGTGCAAAGAAATAGAAGAGAACTACAAAAAGAGTAAAATCTAGAACTCTCTTCCAGAAGATCTAAGAAATCAAAAGGCAAATCAAACCTGAATGCTAAAGACTAAGAGGTGAACAGGCTACTTGACCAGGAAAAAAATAAGGAGAAAATGGAAATAATATAGAGAAGAACTATACAGAAAAGATAAAAGGATAACAGCCTCTTGTATAGTGGAATCCTATAAGGAAAAACCTGCAGTATTAGAAAGTAAATGAAAGCTGGAAGAATTAAAGCACTCAGAACAGACAGGGTACCAATAGAACTATTCCAAGCTGCAGAGACTCAATTGGAATATGCCAACAAACATGGAAAGCAAAAAATGACCCACAGGTATACATTCCAATCTGCAAGAAAAAACTTGCAAAAGAATGCAACAATGATAGAATTATTGCCCTAATTTCCCAGGCGAGCAAAGTAATGCTTAAGGTGTTGCAACAAAAAATATTGCCCTACATGGAGCAAGAAATGCATGACATCCAAGGTAGATTCCAAAAAAGGAAAGGGAACTAGAGATTATGCAGCAAACATCTGTTGGCTAGTGGAGTGCGCCAAAGAATTTCAGAAAAAGATCAGCCTGTGCTTTATAGACTACAGTGGGGTCTTCGGTTGTGTGGATCATGAAAAACTATGGGTAGCCTTTAAAGAAATAGGTCTTCCTCTGCATTTGATTGTCTTGATGGATTACCTGCATCATGGTCAATAAACTACTAGTAGGACAGCATGTGGGAAACAGAATCATTTCTTATAGGCAAAGGTATCAGTCTGTATGCAGAACATAAGAAAAGCTGGATTAGAATCAGAGGACACAGGAGTGAACTTTGGTGGAAGATCTGTTGATAATTTAAGATAATACTAGCAGATGAAAGTAATACTATGACAGTAAGTTTAAGGCAGAAGTTGAGCAAGACCAATACGATGTGGATTGACTCCTCCAGAAAGGAAGCTATAGCCTTGAGTTTACAGGAGCTGAGCAGGTCTGTGAAGGACCAAGCATAGATGACTTGATGGCCTGTAACAACAGATTAACTTGGGATGGATCATATTATAATTTAAACAGATGTTTGGTAGCAAAATTAGCTAGCAAGGAGAAGTTGTTTTCAGAATATTGCCATTTAAAATATTAGTGCCAACAAATATTGAGTTTATATGGATTTTGCTCCCTCTGACTTTGGCTAGATGGATTTTGATCTTGTCCAAGATACTGCTATTGGTATCCTGTCTGATAGGATCAAAACCCCTCTTGTTCAGCTAAAAGATCAAACTTTTAGCTAGCTAAGCTCTTACTATTTTTAGTATTTGTTTTTCTCTGGATTGTCTCCTAAAGGGGGAGGTGTGTTTTTTTACTTGCATTTTTAGATCTTTCCCTTGGCGGCACTACAAGGTAGCTGCCTTCACAGGCAGGGCAAGAGGCAAGCGAGCTGCCCCCCCCCCCCCAACAGAATAAAGTAAAAGAACTTGGGGTCTCAGCTCCAGCTCATTAAACAACCACTTTGAACCTATTTTCAGTACCAACAAAAGCATATTTAACAGCATTGGACTGTGGAAGAAACAGGGTACCATGGTGGATGTCTGGAAAGGTGTATGAGGGTGCATTGGTACCCATGGGATAATGGTTATTTTTACAGGTATTCAGCTGACATTTCTGCAGAAGCCTGATTTTCTAGCCAAATTCTTCATTATATGAGTATATTACTGTCAGGTGATACATAAAAAGGGTGATAGTTTTACTTCAAGAGTAAAAGTAACCAGTCACTGATGCAGCTGTTTTCCTAGATTGAGAAGTCAAGTTAATGCATATGTAATGATCCCAGTTGCCCTTAACCATGGTTAAGGAATCATGACCATTAAGTATGCACAAGCTATCTACATGCTTAATTGTAGTTCAGTTTACGATATTTACAGAGCAAAGATTTTTAAATTGTTGATCTAGAATACAGAAAAATGCTAATTATTTCATGCTTAGTTGGGAATGGAAATTATATTAATAGTGAAAATTGGACTATGAGCAGTTTTTACTCTAGTAATTTAAAGGTTTGTATGCCTTTCTTAACCTGACTTATTAAAAATGAACAAAGTGTACATTTACAAATGGAGGTATATTTTCTGTAAGAAATAATTTGCTCTCTAAAAGTTACTCTGATTAGCATTCTATTGTTCTGCAATGCACAAATCTTATTGAACTCTATGAATTAATGAACAAATTATAGGTAGCATTAATTATTGTTAATATATGTTTGGGAAGGCTGGAAATGTGAAGTTTATTATAGAGTCCATTTAAAACTATAGGATGTTATTTGTTATGTTCTGAAAATGTAAGTATTAGTATGTATAGTAGAATAGAATATGTATTAGTAGAATAACTCCAAGAATATATAACAAATTAGAATAGCAATCTAAGAAATCTGACAAGCAAACAGTATATTATCATGAGAGGACAGAATGCTTCAGGCATGTGAACATCCTGAGGCAAAGCTGAAGGTAATTTAACTTATTGATAATGTCCATCTCCTTTGGGTTATGTAAGAATGTCATATTGTTTCACTCATGAGAATTACTAAGTTTGATAAACTTTTATGCTTGAGCTAAAAAGTGAGTTTGGAAATACTAAATGGGACTAGAATTTAAGGGTATTGATATATTTGAATAAATTTATATCACTCTGTGAAACTGTGATGTGACTAAGCAAGGTTCATAATCACATTACATACAGAAAAATTGTTCTGGGGTCTGTAGAATTGTAGAGGTTGGGGGTTTTTTTACCTTTCTTGAAAAGTAAATTTTAGGAAAATGAAGTTTGTGTTCTAGCAGAATGTTCTGTTCAAGTGCTTTTAGAGGGAAAAACATAGAATAAAGTTTTTAACAGTGGGTTCTACAGTCCACCTCTTATATTGATGAAGTATATATTCAGTGATGTTATGCCCCAAATTGTAAAACTTTGTGTGCTTCAGACATTCAGTTCTGTGACTGGACTGAGACTGGTAATCTAAATCCAGACAGTTTTGCCTACAGGGCAGTATAGAAATTAAAATCATCATAATCAAAAACAACTTAAATGAAACAAAATGCATGCTAGCTTCCTTTAGAACAGAAGAGTGCAACTTGTGGTCCTCCAGATGTTTTTGGACTACAACTCCCATCTTCCCTCCCTGTTGGCTATTCTGGCTACTGCTGATGCAGTCCAGCAACTTCTGGAGGACCACAAGATACCTAGCTTTATTTTTGAGTATTGTTTTAACCAATAAGAAATTAGATATGAATTACTTCAGAAATAAATACAGGGTATTTTAAGAAAATTGTACTTTGTAAATACAGTCTGATCTATACATAAATATCTTGGATTAATATTTGTATTGTATATATTAATATATATGAAATATATAAGGCCCATGCACCTTTTCACTCTACTCTTGACATGCCACAGCTCACTCCAGAAGTCTTCAGTGAATGAGTGTTTCCCATTAGGTTACTAGCTTTGGAACAATATCTGAAACCAAGGCTTGAAATTGAATTTAAGATCTTGGCTTTTTCCATTCGGAGAAATGTAATATGAAACTGTTTATTAAAGACTTCCTGGATTAATTGCGACACACCAAGGTGAAAGGAGGAAAAGTGTGACATAAGCTGGAGCACACAGGCACAAGGCTCATGCATCTGTTGAAACTGGAATTGTATGTGTGCCTCACAATGCAAGATGCAGGATGTCCTAAATTATATCTAAAGACATAGTTAATGCTGTTCACAGTTGTCTAGCTCAAGTCTCCTCTTAAAAATATCTCCCAATGTTTCTCTTGATGCAAATCCACTAAGGACGTTATGGTGATGATTTTTTAAACTATTTGTTTGGATGATTGATTAGCTTGTCGCTTATCTTACTTTAATTAAATATAAACCTAATATTGCATTTTTCTTAAACGATACCTAAAGCTACTACATGCTATAACTGATGTAATTTTATAATTTTATTTCTGGTGAAAATGAATTTACTTGATTAGTTAGCACCTTGTTTTGTGTGAACTTTTTCTGTTGTAAATGAGAAAATTTAGGATGCATGCATTTCTCACCATCAAGAGCCCAAATCCTGCCTGACCAGTGGCAAACTTTATCTGCACATGCCGATTAAACATGCATTGTGTTGTGGCAACATATAAAGAATCTCATATGGAATTTCACTGCTATTTTTTCAACACTGAGAACTATTTCACAAGTTACGAAGTGAGAATGCTTCATTTTAGCAATTAACACACAATTCTAGTGTAAACATGGGTTATGCAACACATTGTGTTTTGTGTTTTTGTTTTGTGGAGATTAAAATAGGAAGCTGCAACTGAGTCTCCAGTATAAGCACACACCAGACACTTCTGAACAGGAATTTTGTAGTGGTTGAAATGGACTTTAGCTTGTTTGTTTAGTTGCATCATGATGCTTGAATGGTAGAATTTTAACTGCTGTAGTTCTGACAAAGGGAACTTCCTTTAGCTAGTTAAGTTGCCTTTTCTTGGATTCTGGAGGTCATTATGCTTATCTTCTCAGTTTCCTGTGTTAAGCTACTTCTATATTAACAAGGTTCATTGTTAGGCTTGCATAACTTTGCTCTGGAGCTGCAAAGACATGGCAGGAGAAATTACTGGTTTTATACCCTTTTTCATGCTGAATTACTCCACATGAAAACGTGCCTTTTACAGGTTTCTGAAGGTGTGTGGTTCAGAACTGGTGCGTCTGGAGTTATGTTGTGGCCACTTCCTCAATGAGGCTTGCTTGAAGGTTGTTGCTGAGACATGCCGGAATCTTCAGGAATTAAATCTCTCCTCCTGTGATAAGCTACCACCTCAGGCTTTCCATCACATTGCCAAGTTGTGCAACCTTACCCGTCTAATTCTTTATCGAACAAAAGTAGAGGTAGGAACAATACTTTTTATTCATTGGTACTCTTGGGAAAAACTGAATTATGGCAGTGTTTTACCAACATAATAAACACATATCAAACATAAAGAAATAAAACAGAATATAGAAAACTCTTAATTTTGGAAGATTCGTGCTTGAAAAGACTTTTTAAAAAAGTGTTGTAAATACTATAGCTACATTCCCAGCTGTGACAAGAATTTCATTTTGGTTCATTTTTGTGATGAATTACAAAAATGGAAATTTCTTAATGTTCAGGACAGAAAACTTGTGATGTAAAACATTGAATGTGAAAGGAAAGGAAATGGACAGATTTGTTCATTCAAGCCCAGGGCACTGAGTCTTAGGTCATCCTTCTTTAACCTGGTGTCCTCCAAATGCTTTGGACTGTATTTCCCAGAATTATGGATCATTGGCTATGCTTTCTAGAGCTGACAGGAACTGAAGTCCAAAGCATCTGGAAGGTACTAGGTTGAGGAAAGCTCTTGTAGCTCTTAAAAGTCTGGGTGCAAATCTCTGTTTATTCAGCCATATTATTGGTGCTGAGTAAGATTGTAATGTCTTTTTTCTACCAGGTTACCAATCTTTAACAGGCACATGGCAGGTATGCATACACTCCTGAGTGTGGCAAGTGAATATGGGTCCTTTTTACAGAATGATTTATTACATTTCTGTGCTGCCTAATAACCAAAGCTCCCTGGGCAGGTCACAAAAAATTAGAACTCTAATATACAGCATGGTGAAATGTAACAAAACAGAATATAAACTCTTTAAAAGGTTAAAGCAGAATAGAAACAAAATGAGAACCAGCACCAAGGTACATAAAGATCTAAAAATGTGGTGAGACGTTTAGAAATTGAAAGTCTAAAAAGCCTGGAAAAATAGTAAAGACTTCACCTGATGCCAAAACCCCCGATACTGTAGGCCCCAAGCAAGCCTCTTGTTGGAATTCATTCTACATCTGGAGTGCCACTGCTACAAAGACTTTCTTCTCAATTGCTTCCTACCTCACCTCATTTGGTTGGGGCATCCAGAGGAGGACCTCTGAAGATCACCTTAGATTTACAGCAGGTATATACGGGAAGAAACTGTCCTTCAGGTTACTGGACCTAAGCTATTTAAGGTATTAAATATTAATAGTAGTGCATCCAATTGGGCCTGGAAATGGACTGGAAGCTAGTGCAGATCTATGCCCATATCAACCAATCCCCATTAACAATCTGATTCCACTATTTTGGACCACCTGAAGTTTCTGGACCATTTTCAAAGGCAGATTCCGATATAAGGATTTGTAATATTCTAAATGAAGGGTTACCAGACCATGAATAATAATAGTCAGGTGTCTTTGTCTACATAGGATTTTATTTGATATATAAGTCCAACCTGAAAAAAATTGTCCACGCCACCAAATCCACCTGTGTCTGTGATGACAATGCTGGGTCCAAAAGCACTTTTAAACTATGATCTTGATTCTTATGGGAAAGTTAAAGCTCCACCAGAAGTTAAAGCCTCACCATTTAGCCAGAGCAGTTGAACAACCCATCAGTAGTATATCCATCTTGCCTGGATTGATGTTTATTATACTGGCTCTCATCTAGTCCATAATTATACCAAGGCATTGATTCCGAACCCTCACGGCTGCTTCTCTTTTTAATGAAAAGGGAAGAAAGAGCTGGGTGACCTCCACTTATTGGTGACACCTCACTTTGCATCTACAGAAAGCCTGGGATTTCATGTAGCTGTCGAACATGGGGAACCCTGTGCAACTGCAGAACTGTTGGGACACAGAGCAGTGATTCCCTCAACACCACTTTCTGAAATTGGCCATTTAAGTAGGAGCAGAGCCAGTGCAATGCAGTATCTCTGGTACTCAGCTAAGGCAGCTTATCCAGAAGGATGCCATGGTATTTATAGCCAGTGACAGTTGTATTCAAATCACTTGCCTTTCACTTATCCATCCTTTTCTGAGCAAATGTCATTCTACCTTTGGCAAAGATCGTTTTCATTGCAAAATCAGGCCTGTAGCCTGATTAAAATTGACCAATTTAATTTGATAGCTTTATTCAAGAACATGACTAGTAATCATATGGTCAAGCAGCTTTCCTAAGAAAGGATGTTGGCATTTTACCTGTAGCTCCTAATATCTTCCAGATCCAGGTTAGTTTTTTTCTGGAGTGGCCTACTTATAATCTCCTTTTAGAAGACTGGAGCCACCCCTTTTCTCAAGGAGAAGTTTACTTTTGGATCTAGGCTGATATCCTCTCTCTTTTAGATATAATAACCTATGAAATGCTAGAGTGAAGCACATAGGTAGTTAGCTGGATTTGGGCCAACAGCTCATCTGCATCCTCAGGCCTCAGCAAGTTAAACTCATCCAGTAAAACTAGACTATTCATACTCTTGATATCTCTACTAATAGTGCTGCATTAACCATGACATCCCAAATAGTGTCTGATTTGTCTGAGAATTTAATTTCAATATGATTCAAAAAATGGCTTCATATCTGAAATGGAAAGAAATTGATACTTAAAAAAACAAACCAAAAACATAACACTGCATGTAGCAGAATGTAAAACCAACAGGATTGTCCATCAATTCCTATTTACAACTCTGTTTTATTGAGTATATGGGTTGTCTTGTTCAAGTGCTGAAAAGTTGGTTGCTATTTTGATTAATGTCCTGAGTTTCATTCATGCAAGAAAAATATCCAAGTCCAAGAAATGTAGAGAAAGTGCAGTTTCTTGGACAACATGCATGCTTAATTCCAGCTTTCTAATAGTTGTACAGATACCACACGAAGTATGGTACTTCCTGAGTAAATGATTGAAAAAACAGATTATGGTACAATTGCTTTGCTCAATATTTTTACTTTCTTCCTTATTGGTAACAGAGCACTGAGCTATTAGTTGAACATGGCAGCCAAATGTTGAACAAAATGATTTTATTCCAAAAGAAGTCACCAGTAATTCTGGTTTTCTGGAAAAAGTGGAACTGGAAAAATGTTTGGATGCTCTCATTAATGGTTCCTGATTTAGCCTGTTTGTTTGACTTCTTTTTACAACCCAGCACACATTTTTTTTCTCAATAAGCACACAGAACTAAAATCTAATCCAAAATAAATATATAAAAAGTTTTCTCAAAGGAATAATATATTTTAACCACAATATTTGCCTAAGAGGAAATTAAATTAAGTATAAAATATATTTTAAATCACATATTCAAACACATTCAGCAGTTCATTTCAAATTTATTTTGTTGGAATATTTGTAAAAATGTTACAATACCATATAGTTTCATGTGATACTTGTATTTAACAGAAAATAACATCACCTAAATGAACATTTGTTTTTAGGACAGAACAAAAAGAGTGGATATATCTTATATCAACAATTTACTTTTCTTTTGCAGAGGTAACTGCAGCATCTTCAGGTATACAGTTTCATTGCAGTGTTTAGCAGTTCCATTTCAATTTGAGAAAAATCTGATTCGGATTACAGAGCTGTTTCCCTAAAGAAAGCATATAGGCCAGAGGACATAGGCTGGGGAACTTGGGCAGGCAGGAGGTATTGCACTCCTATCCTGTTTGTTGCATCCTGAGAGCAACTGGTTGGCCGCTAAGCAAACATAATGTGGACTGGACAGTTGCATTAATCCAGCATGACTTTTCTTTCATTCTTAAATGAAAGGAACAGTGATCACAGTCTTAGTTTCAGTTTTTCATGGAAAAATGTTAGTAATAGAGGGACAAATATTAATAATAGAGGGTCAAATATATGATGTATAAGTCATAACCAGACTCAGGCAAGAGCCAACTGCTTTGTGGACAAGAAGGGGTTATCATACCTTATTTTTCAGCCCTCCCACAGTACAGTTTGTCAGTGCTTGCCTTAGAAGAATATAGAAGTTCATATCCTGTACTGAACTCATCTAACTTTATTGCAGAACTATGAATAGACACAAATGTATGTGGTATGGAAAAATTTCCATGGGAAAATTTTGTGTTGGAATTTTTTTACCCCACTTCATGAGAGAATATATGCATATACAGCATATTCCATTTTAATACTTAAATTCCAGCGTGCAAGTGTAACCTCACTGCCAGCTTTCTTCATTTTGGCCAGATGTTGTTAAAAGCACATGGCCAGTCATTCCGGAGTTTGGCAAATAGTGGATCAGTTTTCATCTTGTCTTTTAGACCTTATCCAGTCCTGCACTTTAAATAACCAAACTGCCATGTCCCTTCATAAGATGCAGTGAGCTCTTTTCAAGCTCAAGTTGCAATATATCTTTTGAAATAATTACTCCTTAAAAGCTTCTTAACTTTTGCAAACACTTAATACTTAATTTGTTTCAACTAGCTAAGTAATCTATACATTCTGCTCAGTTAAGACCACTATTATATGCATAAGATTTTTGTGCTGGTGGTCTTGGTATTTGCTGATACATGACTCTTTAATCTTTCATTCATTGAATATGCATTCGCAGCATACTTCCAGAATTTGTTGGCATTGATGCATTTAAGGTGCACAATGGACAATAAAAGTACTTTGTTCATAGTAACTTGACAATGCACATCATTATTTTGTCTTGTATATATACATTATCTCGATTTGATGCTTATCTTTAATTTCTGTTTCCACTTTTGTGTTGGAGCCAGCATGATGTCTTTGTTAATACGACCAAATATAATAATTCTAGTATTTTACAATCTGAAAACATCAGCATTTTATATGGTTTAAAAATTAAGTATCAACTCATATTTCATGTAACTAGCAGTCAAACTGTTTCAAACTTTTTATCTTTCTTACTGTTCTGACACTTGACTGTTCACAATAACTGTTCAGTTTGTTGGAAACCATTGGGTTATATACAATACTAGCTGTTCTGCTTGTGGGTGAGTGGACACTACTGGAAGAGAGGGTTTCCCCTCCACTGCAGGCCTCTGCTCCAGTGAGTTGGGAGGACACCTGGAATAGATAGATATAGGGAGTATATGGGGGTTGTACTGGGAAGAATTTCTGTCATATGAGCAGAAGTCCTCTTGTGCCATCTTGAATCTGTATTTGTGTAACTGTTTATATTTTCACAAATTCAGTGCAAGATGGTAACATGGACTTGAACACGGCATACTAGAAATCAGTGTCTTATCTGTCTGCCATCTAGGTTTTAAGGTACCTGGAACTGGAGCTAATATTAGCCATATTTGTTGTTGTGGTCCCTTCCCTTCCCTAAGCACACATACAGAACCATCCTTGTTAAGAATGGATTTGACTAGTTTTCTCACCATCTTATGCTGTCTTTTCCTACCTTTGCAATCATTGCACTTTGCGGTCCTAAAAGCACCTATGTCAAAGATACAATTCTCTGCCTGCCAGCTTTTCTAAGCACACACTTTAACATCCCTCCACTGGCACTTGTTTTAGGTGCCATGAATATGATACTAGTGGTAGAACTAGTGCAGCTACGTTTCTCCTTCCTTAAGATCATGAAACACAGTATTTCCTGAATGTAGCACTCCTTCCAGACTGGAAAGGTATAAAACAATGATTTCGCAATGGCTTCTTTCAGCAGTTTAATGCCAAGAAAGTTATCAGTACTTTATGAAGCCTGATGAAGAGTTTGATGCACATTATTGCAGTTGGCAAACATGCACTGGGGAGAAGGAAAAACTGATAAGCAAAGGGAGAAAAGAGACCAGCAGGGAACAGGGAAAGTGGACCATTGGTGGGAGAGACTGTCTAACGTTAATCATCTGCAAGTTTTTGTTGAATTTATGGTAGGTCACAAGACCAACTTGGAATTTGATGCAGTATCTACAGAAGTTGTTGTACAATAAGAGCAATTATAATACAATTTATATTGTTTTAAATGTATCTTTTGCCCATAGAGGGCAACATAATGAATTTTCACAAACTATGACCTATATTCTGTGTGCATGCATGCATACATGTGTGTAATAGAATGCAATGGTACCTCGGCTCACGAATGCCTCAGTTCATGACCCAAATCGGGTCGTGAACAAAAATTTTATTAAAAAATTGACTCAGGTCACAAAAACCGCATTGGGTGGCAACCACAATTGCAGCCATTTCCCCATGCCCCCGAGTGGGGAGATGGCCGCGATCGTGCTGGGGGTGAGGAGGAGCTGGCCGAGATCGCACCCATCTTTTCTGCACGAGTGCACCCGTGATTGTGCCCATCTGTCCTGCACAAGTGCAACTGCAATCTCAGCCATCTCCCCCCTCCCACAGCATGATCACACCTGTCTCCTCTCTGAGCACACCCCCATTCATGCCCATCTCCCCCCCCCACGTGCCCACGATTGCACCTGTCTCTCACCCCCCAGCATGCTGGGATGACAGGCATGTGCAGGGATGATGGGAGCGATCGCGGTCATGCTGTGGGGGCGGCGGGGAGATGGCCGCTCTTGTGCTTGGGGGGGCGGGGGGGGGAGATGACTGCGATCTTTGTTGTTCTTTATCACTTTGCTTCACATTTTTCTGATAAAATAGTTACAGAACGGATTAACCCTATTTACATTGAACCTTATGGGGAAATTTAACTTTGCTCACAACCAATTTGGGTCACAACCAGACTCCTAGAACAGATTAAGTTCGTGAGCCAAGGTACCACTGTATAAGCCATCTTTGCTTGCTTTCTTGAAACTATTCTACAAATAATATTTATTCTTAGAATCTGAACAGGGAACATTTTGTTCTGAGTTGCAGAGAGTGCAGTTATATATCTGTTAAATATTTCCCCATTTAATTAGGATGATTATATGAAAATACTTTTCAGTCAGTTATCCAAACAGTATTTTCCTCTGGTGGGAGGGACAATTCCCATCACAGTTTAACAAGCTTGCTGAATCCATGTGTATGAGAAGGCTATTTCTGAAACCTAAAGTCAACATAGACGTGCACTTAGAATAGTTGTGGGAGTAAGAAAGTTTCTGTTATACTAACTATATACTGGTTACCCTTCCAGTCTATTAATTTATTAATTTAGGGCAATGTTTTTGGCCTTCAAGGCTCTATGTGATTTAGGATTGCAGCACTGCCTATTCTCATCTGAGCCTGTTTGTACTTTGACATCTGCATATGCTTTCTTGGTTGCCAGTAAGAACTGTTCGAATGGTGATTATCAGGAAATTGAATGAGATAACTTTGGAATTCTATCCCTAAGAAAATCCATATGGCTCTGTCAATACTGGCTAAGAGAGTTCTGAAACCATTTTTATTCCAGTCTGAATGTGTTTTGCTTTGAAAGTCTTATTGGTGCTGTTCACTTCCAGTTCTTGTTTTTATATTATTCATGTTTTTATTTATGAAATATTTGTAAACTATACTTTGAGAGTAATATACCTTGAAAGGTGGACTTTAAATTATTTTAATGGATCATTTGCAAAAAAAAACTGTACGTTTTCTAACTGTACGTTATAGTACAGTGATAGTTATTACCAGGGCTCTGATACCAGTGAACAATTTGCTATTAAATAAAGAGATTTGTGTAGAATTCTAGTAGTTGGTCTTTGCCTTTTCCCTCTTTTTCTCTCATTGTCCTTATAACTTTGTAGAAATGCACTCTAGAGACTAAATCTATGCACTCATCATATGTGTATATTAAACCAAGCCCAATTAGGATTCATCTGTCATTAATAATCAATAATAATCAATCACCCATAAATACCACAGTATTAAGAAGGCTAGACTACATATGCTTGAACACTGAAATCCAGTATTTGCTTGCAGAAAGGGCAAGTTGTGATATAACTATTAACATGGATTCTTTGTAAATGTATCTATTTACATTTTAAATAGTACATAGCTGTAATACAATATTTGAGATAATAATAGTTCTACTGCAGGCAGATACACTCATTCAAGTTTTCAGACAGTGAATGTGATTCCAACATTACTTAGACAGTTAACCCACTAGACTCCCTTACTTCCACTGCCTCATCTATCTTCTATTTTCTTCAATTAAAAAATCTTTAGAAGACCTAGCCTTTTTCAAGCTTCTGAATACTAGAGATCAAATGAACACATGCCAAGCAGGATGAATGCATACAAACTTGTCAAGTGATGGTGAAATATAAGGAATAAAGAAGCAAGACATTTCTTCTTCTAAATATATATAAACTATATATTTCACCTGTTTGTACCTGAGTAATTATTTCCCCAAGTCAAAGCATATTTCTAAACTGAATATTGCAGCAAGTCTAAAAAAGCATAACACAGAAAAATATATTTCAGATAAACATAAATCAGTAGTCTGGGATAGTATAGTGCAGGCTCGTATGTGTCTGTGTATACACACACACACACACACACACACACACTCTCCCTACAGCTTCAAAAGAATTGCCGTTTCTCAAGAAGCATCTGATATTCTGGTGGAGTTTGTTTTATCTTTAATGATGTGGCACTTCACTGTGAACATGCTTAAAATGGCAGCAACATGACTGTAAAGTGCACATTATATTTGTTTCTGCCTGCATGTTGCTAGTGACAGGTGCTCGATGATTGTCAGCATCCTTGTCAGCAAGAGCATCCTGTGACATTAAAGTCACCAGCTCGATCCTGATGCTGTGTGACTCTATTGGCAGTTCCATCAGGCTGTAGCCGATCAGTGAATGTCAGAGATGCTGCACTTTTCCGGGATGTCACCAGCCCTCTGTGTTTTTGGTTTGGCCTTGCTTGTTGTTTGAACTTACCAGACTTCTAAGAGTTCTCCTGAGGGAGAAGAGCTGATAGGTCATGGGAATAAAGGTGTCTTCAGGGCATGCAAAACCACATCCAGAGTGACTTATTATATAAAGCCTTGTAATGATTACCTTGACTCTAAGCCAATCAATGGTTAGAGCATCTGGGGACTCATTAAATGGCATTTGTGGTGTCTGTTACCTAGGTTTTGAGCTGAATTTCATGGAAAGTGGTGACAGCCTTTAATGTCTAATTGACCCTTTCTCTTTGTGTTTGCTTTCTATATTTGCTTCTGATGTGTTCCCCAATGGCAGCAAACAGCACTGCTCAGCATTCTGAACTTCTGCTCAGAACTTCAGCACCTTAGCCTGGGTAGCTGCGTGATGGTAAGTTTTTTAGGTCCAGACTTGTGCATATGTTATCACAATTTAGACTCCCCAGTTCAGGTACAGAAAAATTATCTTCTCTTGTTATACCCGTATACTTCTTGTGAACTATCAACATAAAAGTATGCTGGAAGTTACTCTTCTCTGTTTGCCAAGCTTTAAATTATCCTATATTTTACTGCTTGAGCCATTTTGCAGGAATTACAGGAATCCACTCATGTACGGAGAGGATTTTTCCCCCAGCTCATAAACAACCATTTTGTGCTTGGCTGTGGTATGCAGCCTTTCAATTAGAACTACTGTGGGTATGACTTTAAGGCTATATTTTTGTCACAGGTTTGTTAAATGCTACTGCGTCAGCCTTCCAGTGTGTTTGAAAGAGAGCATATATGTAGGTATCTGGGTGTCAGAATTGGACCTGGGGAGTCTTGAGCTCTGGCCCCGGAGTATACAGATTGTGTGAAATCTGAAAACACTGAAGAAGTGAAAATGAGAAAAAAAAATCTTTTTTCCTGTATTGGCTGCTTTAAATAAAAGCAACAATGTTTTAAATACAACATCTTTGTATTTAAAGATAGGCACCTTCTCAGACCAGGAAGAGGTAATGAGTAGTGCAGTCCTGGGCTCAGGGATCTTTGAAATTTTTATTAATGATCTGGATGAGGAGATGCAGGGAATACTTCTCAAAGTTGAGGTGACACAAAATCGTATCGGATAGCTGGAAGACAGAACAAAATTCAAAGTGATCTTGATAGTTTGTGGTACTGGGCTGAAATCCACAGAATAAAATTTAATAGGAACAAATGCCACATTCTTTACCTAGGAAAAAATAGCAAATTCATAGTTACAAGATGGGGGATATTTGGCTCAACAATACTACAAGTGAGAAGGAACTTGGAATTGTAGCTCATAAGCTGAATCCGTGTCAACAATGTGATATGGCTGCAAAAGGGGGAAATGCTAACTTGGGCTACATTAACAGAAGTATTACATCCAAATCATGTGAAGTACTTGTTCCCTTCTACTCAGCACTGGTTGGGCCTCCTTTGGAGTACTGTGTTCAGTCCTGGACACCACAGTTTAAGAAAGGTGGAGACAAAATGGGAAAGATTTAGAGGAGGGCAACAAAGATGATCAGGGGTCAGGAAACAGCCCTGTAAGGAGAGACTTAAATAACTGGGCATGTTTAGTCTTGAGAAGAAAAGACTGAGATGCTAGTGTGTGACAGCAGTCTTCAAGTACTTGAAAGGTTGTAACACAGAAGAGGGCCTGGATCTTTTCTCTATCATTCTGGAGTGCAGGACATGGAATAATAGGTTCAGGTGCAGAAAGCCAGATTCCGGCAGGAAAATTTTCCTGATTGTTAGAACAGTATGAGAATGGAGCAAATTATCTGGATTGGTTGTGGGCTTTCCCACGCTAGAGGCATTCTGATGCAACTAGACAGCCATATGTTAGAGATGCTTTAATTTGGGGTTGTGTGTTGAACAAGGGGTTGGACATGCTTTATTAACTCCTTCCAACTCAACTATTCGCCCCTTTCAACTCTGCTATTCAGTGATTCTGTAAACATGGAGACTGTGTACATTCAGGAATGTGCTTCACAAATATCGCTATTTTCACATGACACTGTACTCTTTTCTTATTCCCCACATGTGTAGCAGGAGGGTGTTGATACGCCTTATAATTTGATGTGAATGCTGAAATAAAGCCAACTCTACAAAACTGATTCTTCATTTCTTTTGAAAGCAAGCAATGTAATATTTTGCATTACTTGCTATTTCTATATTCATGCTCAGTTGGCGGTTACATTACTTTCTTGAAATACAGCATGCTACATTTTTGTGTTTTGGAGAAGCAAGAACTGACTTCAGCCATTTATGCTGTAGTCTCATCCAGATTAAACTACTGTAATATGCTGTACGTGTTGCTCTTCTTGATAACAATCTGGAAACTTCCATTGGTTCAAAATAAGGCTTCAAGAATTCTGACTGAGATTAGTCATTTCATAATGATCCCAGTCAGAACTTCACTGGCTGCCAATTGTTTTAAGCTGTGGAACTCGGGATCTGGTATGGCTTGCCCCATTGTAGCTTGCCTTAGAATCAACTGAAATTTAAATAGACAAGGAAAATAGTTTCATTCCAGTGAGCTTTTGCAGAGTACTGTCCTTAATCTGTTTTTAAGTTGTTGGTGCCTGTTAATTTATTTAGTCCTTCTCTGTGATGGTTTGGTTTTAGATATTTCACTTTTCATTCTTATTTTGATTTTAAACTGGTTTGAACATTTTTTTAAAGAAATGCAGGTATAATGTTGGAACAATAAAATGTGAACTTCTTTAGTTTTTCCATAGATCTATATAATGAACTGCTTCCATAATTAGGCTTTAATGTTACTTTTAATAATTTGCTTGTTGGAGCAGTCCATTCCATAAATTCCTTCTGTTGGCAAACACGTTATTTTAATACAGTTATTGCTAGTCACAGGCAGGTAGATTTAATTTATGTACTTCTAGATTTCTGGATTAAATGTTTTAGATTTCTCCATATTCAAGTTCCATGTTTCTAGAGGCCAGTGTGCATGTGCAAGCTGCAGCCTGCCTCAGATGGTAGGGAGAAAGCAAAAGGAGCTGGCTATTTCAGTTGCACGGCAAAAGGATCTTGAGATGTGGATGGGAGAGCATTTTCTAGTCAAAACCCCTTGCAGAGGAGAAAGGATCCCTTTGCCACATAGATTGTAATGTCCAAGTCTGCATTTTTTTAAAAGTTGAGAGAAAAACCTATGTGTGACTCAGCATCACATGCCATATAACCGGCATCTTTACAGCACCAGATCTCACATTTTAAAGCAAAATTTGAGTAATAACTGTATATATGGATGGTTTCAATTCATTCGGAATCCTCTATAGCTGAAGAATATCTGTGTTGCCATATTTGTAATGCCACTTTCTCATATGTGGCATATAGCTGAGATGACATCAGGATGTACTTAACTGACTTGGCCACAGAACAGGCTTCTCATACATTATGCTCCGTGAATAAATGGAATTGTTTCAGTACAGAAATGCACAGATGGTATATTCCAACATTTGTTTGCAAAGACATCAACATGAATAGCACTCCCAGAGTACTTGAGAAGACACATTAGAATATCCAGCTATTCAAAGAAAGAAAATTAAGAAGCAACAAGTACATCGCCTTAGACAGGAACTGACCCTATGACAGATAAAATGGGGCAGAAGGCAGCTTTCATCACTGACTGGCAACTAAGAGAAGAGGGTTCCACATGCTTAAGGCCAGCTTGAGTTGCTTATACAGCACCATCCAGATGTTCTGGTGGTGAATGGACTGCAGCACCCAGTGTGAGCTGATTATGTCATTGGCACAATTACCTGATGACTGTACCAGTCATTTTCCCTTTGAACAAAGGCAGCTTTTTATTTCAGTCTGTTCCATTTCATTTGCTGTCATTAGAACTGACTTTCAGTTTTCCAGTTGCTGTTAACTTCTGTAATGAGTGGGCTGTTAAGTTTGAAAGTTTACTTGCTGTTGTCCTTCAGAGTAAAATACAATATGCAAAGTACAATATGAAATAAAATACAGAATTTTTCTTCTTTTAGGGAGATGAATTCTGTTTTTTGGGAAATACTCTCATTTTATAAAAATAATGTGTTGTGCTTCTGCTTATACACGAGTACTCTAATAAATGGCAGCTTCTTAAGTTTGACAGCATGTCTATTATTTTTTTGGACACATTATCCCAGACACCTGGGGTGTTTATAATCCATTGCAAATAGTCCTGGCGTATAGTACAGTTTAAGAATCCCCCCATGGTCTAACTTGTCATCTGAACTGTGTACAGTCCACACTTGAGGAAGGCAAGTGGGTGGTGGGTGAGGCCAGGATGGGGCAAGGAACCCCACCCATCCCTGTTTCCCCTCGTCCAAGCAGAGAGTGGGGGAAAGCAGGTGGGAGGTGTCTCTTGCTATCCCATCAGCCAGCAGAGCCAGCTGTCAACATCAATTCCACCAGGCAAGCAAGGACATGAACTGCCTGGCAGCACGTGCTTCCTCTCACCCAGGAGGAAAGCACCTCTTCTCCCACACATCAGCCGGCATGATGGCACAGGCTGGCATGGCACCCAGACTGCATACATGGCACCACGTATCTCCTCCTCCTCGAGTACAAGCCGTGTGGGTCAGGCACTGCATCCTGCCTTGTACCACCTTCCGAAGCCACACTTGGGAGGGGGCACAAAGCAGATATCCACTGACCCTCCTACCCCGGCTGGTGTGGTGGCCATAGGTGCTGCACTACCCAGGATAGGGGCAAGAGGCAGGTTCAACTCCACCACCCCCTCTCAAAAAGCAAAACGCACAAGATGGAGTCTGTGTGTGCCTGCTTTCTGTCACCAGATAGGTTCTGTGAGCTGCGTAAGTATGCAAATCTATGTCTGCTGAAATTGGTGGTATTTACACTGTCTTTGAGGGCATAGCCATCATATCAAACTTGTATCTTAAGGATTTTATAAATGTTTAAATATATGAGTGAGAGTAGGTATAACCATAGCCGTAACAAAGGTGTGTTTTTTCACAGATTGAAGACTATGACACAGTAGCTAGCATGATAGGAGCCAAGTGCAAAAAACTTCGAACATTGGACTTATGGCGATGTAAAAACATTACTGAAAATGGAATAGCAGAGCTAGCTGCTGGCTGTCCGCTGTTGGAGGAACTTGATCTTGGCTGGTGCCCGACACTTCAGAGCAGCACTGGTTGCTTTGCAAAACTTGCACGTAAACTCCCAAACTTGCAAAAGCTTTTTCTGACAGCCAACAGGTCTGTTTGTGACTCTGATATAGAAGAGCTTGCTACAAATTGTACTAATCTTCAGCAACTTGATATTTTGGGTAAGTAACCACAAGTGCATTGGAGTCGTATTTCAATTAATTGATGGTATCAGTAGCAGAAAGGAAATTTATTTATGGTAGAAAATAAGATGTTTAGGAAATAAAACTGGGTTGGGCATTTTTTGTCCTTTCCTGGAGACTGATAAACACATAAAATGGTTCTTGAACAAATGCCCCCTCCTGGTTAAAAGCATAATGGAATATGGGGCTTAATCAATTCAACTCTAGATTCTTTGATTTACTGGATTGTGACTCAGGCTACAAGTTTGTCTAATTACTTCCCATTTTCCGCTGCTCCTTAAAAAAGAGACTAAGTTTTTATGGTTTCCTGAAAACCATTCAACTGCTTTTGCCAGTTTTCAAAAGCTCTTGGAATTTTAATACAGTGTGACAGGATATATTTATAAAGTGTGAACCTTATGATAAAACAGTTTCTCGAAGAATATAGAATAAAGCTCTCTACTGAACTGCATCTTTCAAAAAATAAATTGTGTTTTTTAAAGAAATAAACATAAATTTTCATTTCTGCTTTAGTAAGTATGAGCATCTGGTTTCCCCCAAAGGTTAAAACTGTAGGTCATAAGTAGAAATTTTTTTGCTAATCCGAAGAAAAGCTTTTTTCTGTGCTTTTTCTGTATGTTACACCATCATATTAGGTACATTGGCTCAGAACTCAGGATAATGGAAACCCTCATTGTGTATATAGAAACGCTACAGGAGGGCTTGTAGGAATCTTCTTGTATATACCATGGTAAGAGAAGCTAAAACAAAGCTACTTGGTTGATTCAGAGAGTGCATGCAGTTCCAATTCCTTACCCTAATACTCTCACTGGTAGAGGGCGGTTCCTTTAAAGCAAGTATGGAATGCCTGTTCTTGCACAAGATTTTGGGCATTAAGGAAAATTTGTACCCAATGGAGTACATTTTCTCTACTCACTCTTTGTCTGCTGGTGTATCCCAGCTGTAGTCCTTTATATAAACCCTTCTAATGTAATAGAATTTGTGTTTTCAAACTTTGCATCAGTGGGCTTGGCAAGATGGTACCTTCCAGAGGAACACTTCTGGATATAGGCAACATGGTACACTCCCAAAGATTTTGGACTACAATCTCCAGTATTGCCAATGACCAGGCTTTATGGAAGTTGCAGTCCAAAACGCATAAAGGGCACCAGGTTGCCCAGCCTGTATACTAGGGATGGGTGGTCTGTATCTGACCACCTTTTGAGGGTTGCATTCCTTTGGTGGATGCCATCCAGTAGAAGACACAGGCAGTGTATAAAAATTCCCCCATAATTTCATTGTTACCAGTTTATATATAGCAGGAAGCTTTTCAGTTCAAAGTATGTGTGAGTATTATGCCTGCTCACAAGTAAGGAAGACAAGCCTTTGTTTATTTTACTGAACTTTAAGCAGAAAATAATCACTTAGAAGCACTTTCAAATAGCAATTGCAACACCAAGCCTTTACATAGAGAATAAGAAGTAAGCATGGGTATCATAAAGAAGAAGAGCAAGCCTCTATATAATTATTTAGCAGTAAGCAGGACAAGATTCAGAAGGAGGCAGTTTTCTCCTATGGACCTATCCCACCTGCTCCAGAGGGAAAAGCCCGTACCTTCAATTGGCAGCTGATTCCCTGCTAAGCATTGAGAAAAGGAGCACTCTTTTCTCCTTCTACGCACTGGAACATAAACTTTCTTTAGTGATAAGCAGGGGAAATTCCATGGCTGTGATCATCTTCTAATTGGAGATGAAAGGGTGTAAGGACCAGGGTAAGAGTTGTCAGGCCCGACAGATAATCCTATGGCATTTAACTGGTTGCTGAGACTGAAGGGTCCCCACGCCAGTTGTTCACTGGTATGAACAGCACTTTTAGTAGCACTTTTTAAATGTTGTATGTACATACTGCATAGTTGTCAAGCATTTAAAATTGTCTTTTTTCACTGGTGGATTTAACTAAAACATCTTAATTGTCTTTCAGTTGAATAAAGTGACTTACAGTTGTAAGTGTATGCATGTGTGTTTAATATGATTTTGATCCTAAGAGGCTAAATATGATGGGGTAAATCTAGATCATTTTAAAAGGCAATTATGTCAAAACTGTACAAGGCTTAAGGTGTCTTGCAACATAATTAAAACTATAACATACAGACAGATTTGCACTTTCTGCTTTTTAATTCAGTTTTTGCTTTTGAATGCACCATTGCACTCCCCCCAACACACACATACATGTGTGCGTGTGCTGAGTTGTTGAGCTTTATGCCTTTAAACAATGAAATTTGTTCCATACTGCTTCCACAGAGAAAAATGAAATCTCTCCCTGATATCTTTTCTTTTGAGAAGCTATTTCTACTCCTTATGCTACCTAGCTTTTCTTCTGGCATCGGTAATGAGAAATTAATAGCAGGCAAGGGTGCAGTGTTCTCATTCACTACTATACAGACATTTTAATTTAGGAATCAGTGCAATTGCACAACAAATTTGAGAGGCACATACAAATGGACATAGATGCCAGTCTGCAGGTTCACCTTTCAAAGCATTATGCAGTAGTAAATACTTATCTCTGTTCTCAAACATGGGCTTCTGTAGTGTTTGTTTCTCCCCCTGCTTCATACTTGTAAATCCTGAGGTTCCAGATTTAGTGGGCTGGTTAAAATGTGAAAAGGGTAATATGTGAAAAGGGGATCGTTATGTCCTTTGCCTATGGGGCACCAATTGTAGTGCTGTTATGTGATCACATAAATCACAACATATTGTGAATTATGCTTAAATAAGGGAACAAAGCATGCTCCAGAGAAATAAACTTCTAGTTGATATTTTGACTGGAGCCAGGCAGCATAAAGTAGAGTTTAGGAGAATATGGTGGGTTTAGCCATCTGGATGCACTCTACTCATTTGTTATCTCAAATCATGGAATAAAATCTGTAGATTCACCCACATTTAAAAGTTCTATTTTCAAATATGTAAAGTCATTCATGTATGAAAGTAGGGATAACAATACCTTCTTCCCTTGTACAAGAATATTTAACTGCCTTTTAGATGTTATAAACCCAAAAAACCTCCCACAGCTTCCTAGAATGCCAAAAGCTCCAACTGTCCCCTTTGTGGCTGTCAAAATCATCAGCTTCCGTTGACAGTTTCAAACTGTAGTTACTCAGTTTCTGTATGGAAATAAAAAACACGTTATAGTCCCCACTCCAGAAAGGCCTCCATGCACCTGAATTTCTAAGCATTTCCTTACTTGAAGTATCCCCACGCACACTCATAAACCACTCTTCCCACCCCTGAATGGAAATGAGTGACCTAAAACTGCACAGGAGACCATATTCTAATTTTCAAAGCTCACTGCAATTGAAGAATTCAAGACTTCCAGAAGTAGAAGACAGAGTGGAGAGTGCGCCTATCTATGTTTTCCCTGGGACAGGCCTATCATTGGCTTGGCTCCATCCACTGCCGGAATGTAGCCATAGATTATCTCTGTGGACGGCCCCTGGCATCAAAAAATGCCATGGGCCATCCCCTACCTCTGCTTTAGCCCCCTTTCTCCCATGCCCTTATTCAGCCGTGACCTCCAAGAACACTCTAAAGCAGTGGTCCTAAAACTTATTTGGGCTATTGCCCCCTTTCCTCTTGGGTGACAACCCTAACACCTGACACCTCTTTCTTTGTATTAGGTCCATTCCTCTACTGCAAATTTAGAACAACCAATCTGGCACTATAAAGTTAAACCAGTATTTCATAAAAAAAACTTAACTTTGTAAAACAACTTATTTAAAATCTAATGTCTGCCTGCTGCCCCCCTTTTTCTCGCTGCCCCACTGGATCTTTATAACACCCCAGGGGGGCAATACCACCCACTTTGGGAATCATTGCTCTAGAGGAAGTTCTGACAACAACTGGCACTGCTAAGACAGTCAACTCCTGTACCAAAGATCCTGTAAAACCTGACATAATGTCCCATATGATGAACTGGTACCAAGCCAGATGACTCAGGTGACACCTGAGCAAGTATTAGTATAGAGGATAGCAAGGAATTGCCTGGGATCTGGAAAAATTGACTATTAACTTCAATTTTTATTTTATTTATTCATTTTTATAAGCTGCCAAGTAGTTCAAGTAGAGTCTCTGCGTGGCAACGGCAGTAACATTACAACAAAATAATTAAAATCATTAAAATAATAATACCACCACCACCAAGATGAATTCAAAAATTCCAGGAGAGACAGACAATCAAATTTACTAAAATATAATAAAATTAATAAATAGCTCAAATCCATCATTAAAATTCATTAGGGAGAAGAGAAGTGTTTTGCCTGGTGCTGAAATGAAAGCAGAATTGGCACCAGGTAAACTTCTCTGTGAAGCTTGTTCCATAGGTGAGGGTCAGTCACCAAAAAGACCATTCTTCTATTTATCACCCCCTTACCTCCTTGAGGGACGGCACTTTCAGATGGGCCGCTTGCCCAGATCTTAATGATTGGGTAGGCATATATGGGAGAAGGTGATCCTTCAGGTGTCCAGGCACTAAGCTGTTTTAATGACTGTTCATACCATTAAAAAAGTTTGCTTCTCAGAATAAATGGAGAAAAATATGTGTTGCTGAATTAATTTCCTAATGACGTCTCCCAGTGGTTTCATGTAGATGTTGAAAAGCATGGGAGACAAAATAGAGCCCTGCGGAACCCCATGGCACAGCTGCCACGGTGCAGAGCTGTAGTCCCCCAGCACCACCTTCTGGAATCGACCAGCCTGGTAGGAGCAGAACCACTGCCAAGCAGAGGCTGCTACTCCTAACCCTGCCAGCCTATCCAGAAGGATACCATGGTCGATGGTATAGAAAGCCTCTGAGAGATCCAGAAGAAACAACAGGGACGCACTCCCCTGTCCCTCTCCCTGCACAGGTCATTGTACAGGGCGACCAAGGCAGATTCAGTGCCATAATCAGGTCTGAAACCAGACTGAAATGGGTCCAGATAATCCGTTTCATCCAAGAGTGCCTGGAGTTGTCCTGCCACCACCCACTCTAACACCTTGCCCAGAAATGGGATGTTGGTCACCGGTCTAAAATTGGCAGCCACCTCGGTCCAGGGCTGCCTTTTTCAGGATAGGCTGGATCACCGCCTCCCTTCAAGGGGGTAGGGACCCGGGCTTCCCTCATTGAGGCATTGACAGCCTCCCGGACCCAGGGACCAATCCCGTAACTGGCTTCTTTAAGTAGCCAAGAGGGGCAAGGGTCCAAGAGACAGGTGGTAGGACGTACCATTCCAAGCATCTTGTCCCCATCATGAGGCCGCAATAACTGAAACTCATCCAAAAATGATGGACCAGACAGCGCTCTGGGCACCTCCTGTACTGGATTTAAATGAACCGTGGAGTCCAGATTGCGCGAATCTGAGCGACTTTTTCCCTTAAGTGCTGGGCAAAGTCATCACAGCGGCTGCCGAAGGTGCAACCACTTCCTTCTCCTGGCCAGAATGTATCAGGCCTCGCACCACTCGGAAAAGCTATATGTGGAAAGAGCAGGTACATTTGGGATGTTGCTGATGGAGAACAGTCACTCAAGTAAGAAATTATCTTATGGTGCCTACAGATATATATGGTGAAGGAGGTGGAGACAATAGCTTGCCTTGTTTTACTCAGGTCTACAGTTTTTAATTTAGGATTAAGTTTCATGAAAGCTGCTTGCTCTGCTAGTTTTCTATGGGAGCTGGAAGTTTCTAATGGCAGCTGGCCAACTCCTATGACATCACAAAGTCACCTGCATGGGACAGTTCTTCAACCTTTAAAAACTGATTGTGTGAGTGTGTTTTACAACAGCTGTTTGTTTGATAATGTTTGAATGATAATGTTCTGCCACACTTTGGAAATAAGGAAGACAGATAACTGCCTAAAAGCTTAGAGAAGATGGCAAAAAGGAAGAGAACATCAAATTCAGAAGCAAAGCCAGGGGAAGGCAGTAAAGCTGAGGTCACCCCTCAATACATACAAAAAAGTGTCTTTTGCCTGTAAGTCAGGCTCTCATTAGACGTTGAAAATCAGTATATTTATATGGATCATGCCATATAACCAAATTTGTTTGTCAATGTTGAAAAACCATTTTGCTGATAGGAACATGCATTAAAATAAGCATGTTTGTAATCTGAGTTTAATAACAAATGGAAACTGTTGACTTGACCTGTACACAAACCAAGGTTACAGTGTGCCAGTCACTGACTATTCAGTTTAAAATGATTTTGCAGTTCTTCTTCATGTTCTCTGTGCATCACATATATGGGCTCTGCACCTTTGTGGGGCTGTTGTCAGAAAGTTTCCTTCCTGGTTTTTCTGGAAGCTTGGTATATACGGGAGGGGTTCCCACCCATTTCTTCAGTTCTCTTCCAGCCGCCATTGTAGATGCCTCAGGACTTTTCTCTGTTGGTAGCTGTCACTTTTCCCTAACCTCTAGATGTTCCTCCATCCCAACATCGATACCCTATTCATCATGGCGTGGAAGATTGTCCAGTAGACTAGCATACAGCTCTCCAACTGGACATAATGGTGATCCTTGATTCAGCACCAAGACTGTCCACGAAGAGATCATGCACAGCGTTTATCCAGCCAGAATCTTTCAGTCCTCACCAGGCATCTGTACATCAAATCCTTGAGTTCCTGCACCTCTTAACTGCAGTGGCCTGAAACCATCCCCCATCAAGATCCACTTGGTGGTGATCTCCTTGTTCCATCCACTGATCCAAGGTATCTCAGTCTTCTTAAACCCATCAGTTCCTAAAGGACTGCAATACGTTGTTCCGCGTGTCTGGTCCTTCATCCTGAACAGAAGCCTCTTAGTCATTCTCCGAGCCCTAATAAAATGACCCTTCAAACTTGGGCTTCTCTCCTGAAAGGTAGCCTTCCTCATGGCCATAACATTGGCCAGAAGGGCCAGGGAATTCTGCTCACTCTGCATCAACCAGCCATAGAGACAAGGCAGTCTTTCATCCAGATCTCTCATGCCTCCTGAAGTTTGCTTCACCATTCCACCTTAACCAGGACATTGTTCATCACAGTGTCAAACCCAGTGGATTCTACCCTATAAACCTTTTGTGTACACAGGACACTGGCATTCTACCAGTCTCGAACTGAATTCTTTCACTGTTCCTAGAAACTTTTTATTTGTGACAGTGAAAGGTCCTCTGATTAATACATTAGCCCCCAACAGCTCTCTTACTGGATGGTGAAGACCATCATGCTTGCAGGACTACAACTCCTTGAATGACCCTGATGGCCACCTCAACAGCTCTTCATGTGGGCATCCCTTTGCAGCACCTTTACAAGGCAGCAATGTGTTATACCCCACTGACATTCTTTCAGCATTACTCCGTGATGGCTGCACCAGGCAAGACTGCTCCTTTGGCAGGGTGGTTCTTTTTTTAGTCCTCCACTGACAACACCTTTCCACCTCCAGCTCAAAGGTAAACTCATTAAGTTGCCCATATGTGTGATGCACAGAAACCATAAACAAGAAAGTCAGGCTGCTTACAATGTAACCGTCATTCTTCAAGTGGTTGTCTGTGCATTCGCACAAGCCACCCACCAATCCCACATTGGTACCGATCAGCTGTGATACTCTGCAGTTCTTTCACTCTGTAGTTCTGGGTTTGAGGTTGGCCAATCACTGGCCTGCTTTTGGTTCCAAGGCTACAATGTTGGTCTCCATGGAACTGAGGAAGTGGGTGGGAACCCTCCCAGATACAACAGGGTAGGAGGGGTTCCCACCAAAATGAGTCTAGCTAGAAAATATTTCTGGCAGCAGGCCCTGTGCAGGTGCAGAACCCAAATGTGTGAATGCACAGGTGACCACTTGAAGAATGACAGTTAAAAGTAAACAAGCTGATTTTAAATAGTGAAAATATGGTGGCTAAGCATCTGGCCAAACAGCAGATCTATCAAGACAAAACTGCTTTCTTGCAGGCTGGCCTAAAGCACAGATGGAAGAGCCACATGCTTTTGTTTTAGCAAACAAAATTTCATTACTTTAGAAAGATAATTCTTGCCTAAGTCTACCCAGTGAACTTCAGGGGTGAATCGAGATTCAAATCTTTGTCTTTCGTGCCTGCTATGCTGCACTGGCTTGTAAGTCTGCTTCTGCATTTTAGACAAACTTTAACTGATATTATGAATTACATAAAGGGAACAAAACAATTGAAGTGTTCTGTATGTTGTGAAATTTGCAGTCCTCTCACTCCCCCAAGTATCACAGTCTATTCAGTTTCTTTAAATGTCAAGTTTTGTAACTTTCAGTCGGTCTCTTTCTCTTTTCCTTTTTTCCTTTCTAGGCACAAGAATGGTAAGCCCTGCTTCTTTAAGAAAATTGCTGGAGTCTTGTAAAGATCTTTCCTTACTTGACGTGTCCTTCTGTTCACAAATTGATAATAGAGTTGTCCTAGAACTGAATGCCAACTTTCCAAATGTGTTCATCAAGAAGAGCTTCACTCAGTGACTCAGTTCATATGCTGTTCTATGGAACTGATTTGACAGTTCAGCTTCCTATTTGTGATTTGACTTTTTTCAAAGGAAAACTTATCCTGTGAATAATGGGGAAAAGGTTAACTCTTCTTCATATGAAGGTTATATGTGAAATCAAAGATTTAAATTGTGGTGAGCCACTATTCCATGTATTGTATCCAGTTACTATACTTGGCAAGCAGACCTCCCTGTTTGAAATGGAAAGAATCGTGTAAATGTTAGCTGGCATACATTTTAACGCCTGTTAAAGAGCATTTAATACCACTTGGATATTAACATTAAAATAAATGGGAGATATAAATAGAATTCCACTTTAAGTTTTAGTGTGTGCCTTTAAGGGGCAAATGTACTTTGGCCTCAGTTGGAACCTCAAATGTTTCATGTGCAAATAAGTATGAAACTAATTTCTTCTAAAGAATAGTGGTTTCATATTGTTTCTTTAGTTTTTTTATGCAGATAGTTTTGCTATTTCCAATAAAAGAAGAGCAGCTGTCCATCTTAGCATTTTATATTTATCATATAATGTTTTTAAGGGAATGTGTGAGGCTGAAAAGAGCCTTTTCCCCCTGATAATCTGACAATACAAAATGTGTGGATGATGCAACCGGGTGTAGTGCAGTGACATCCAGTCACATGTTTTATATTATTAGATCAACAGGAATGGAGGAATTAAAACTGTGCTCCTTTTCAGTTGGCCTCCCATTGCTTCCAACAAGATACAAAATTTACTTTGGGTTTTGACTGTTTCCATAATATGTCGGGGGTTTAAAAGCAAGCATATTTTGCATTGAGTGACTTCTGATTAGGATTACCAACTTTAATCAAGGTGATTAATAAACCACACTTGAAGTTGCAGATAAAAAGAATTAGCTACCAGTTAATCAGTGGGTAGACAACAAGTGCAGATCTTGGGATTTTTAAAGGGCCTGCTTCCATGCATGTTATACATTTTCCATTTTTGGAAATGGAGATCAGTTTTTGTGCACTGTTCTAACAGGTTTTCTGCAACATGCAGCTCATGCTAAAGTTATTCCATTTGTTGGTTTATGTAAAACATTTAAATATGAACATGGTACTTTGATGACAGAGCACTACCCTGTAAAAATATTTTATTTTGCATTTTTAAATGAGTTTTATAACTAATATATATTCAGTGTAATTAGGAATTTTGCTTATACATACCTGTTCCAGAAGAATTTGGACAGTGTATGTTTACACATTTTAATATTTTAAATTAAGCAGTGTTTTATGTAACTCAGGATGTGCATGGATATGTTTTCTTTAAAAAAAAATATGTTTAATGGCAAAAAGTATTACAACTGTACTAATTAAAATGTGTGCCTTCCTTTTTTTACAATCAAAAGAACATATAAGGACACTTGTGTGGACACTGAGTATAACTGAAATCATTGAAGAATGTGTGTTTTGGCTTATGATGCAACTGTCTTTGTTTACATACCAGAGCAAATGGTGATTCTCTTCACAAAAATTGGACTGGAGTCACAAAAATGGTCCAAGAATGAATTAAACTCTTTATTTTGACATTCTTAATGTTTGTTCTTCTTGGGATATGTCAGCCACACTGCACTAGTACATCTTAAATAATTATGGCATGGGGTTATTTGAAAGGACTTTGGAAGATGAACAGGCAAGAAAATGTAATTTGCATATTTCCAGGAATTGTCTTGAAGACTAGAGAAGCAAGTAGCTTTAAGGTATAATTCTATGCCTGTTTAGATAGAATGAAGTCCATAGGACTTATTTCTATCTAAACATGCATAGGATTGTGCTTTCAGGAATTCTGTCCTTTAAGTCCAGTGTTCAGCACTTGATGATTTTCCAATTCCCACTTTTTAGTCTAGCTTATGGTGCACATGGCTGCTTCCAAGACTATGCAAGGCTCTGGAATAATTTTTAATATGTGAAAGACTGTAGCCTGTAAGGTCCAAGGGGGCCTACTTCACATGCAGAAGCTGTCGAGGGATGCATATTAGTCCTGAGCACAACTGTCTGGATCCTAACCCTGAAGCAGAAAGAACACAAGGTGGAAACTTGCGACTGTTGGGATAGGGGTTTGTGTTCCTCTTTCCTAGACGTAACCACAGGAAAATGCTTATATCAAAAGGCACATAATTTCATAATTTAGGCTTCCCTATGTTTAAAAACAAACCTATATCTAATCAAGATTCAACTCAATAGAAAAAATTACTTCAATTTTAAGAGTGTTCAGCATGAATATTGGCTATCATCATTTTGTTTTTCTATAACAAGTTGTTACTTAGAATCATTCCCCCCTCCCCCACCGCACTGCTTAATTGCACTTGAGGGTTGATTAACTTCTTGGCTGAAGTGAAAAAGGCCTTGAAATAATTATATCAAGTATGGAGTATAAAAACCAAAAATATTTGGGTCATTTCTTTAATACTGTAGTGTCTGTCTTTGAAAGGAGATGAAGGTTTAGAATGTCCTGAAATGGCACTTGAAAAACATTTTGTTGACGTAGAACTGTGGGGAAGCCAATACTAATTCCCTTTTCTCACCATTCAAAAGGGATCAGTTCTTTTCATCTCAGCCAGCTTGCTTTATGCACAATGAGGTTTGAGTCTTGCATTACTACTTTAAAAACATGATCATGATCTTTAGGTCAGACACCTATGTCTGATATATTGGAGCGGAAGTGTTATTTTCTTTCAATGTTCTACATGTAAGATAAAGTCCATGAATTGTAGGGAAGCTACAGATTTTTGTGATTTGGTTATTTATGTATGTGAAGCATTTTCATCCTACTCTACACCCCAAAGCAGAGTAGCTTACAAGGATTGATCTTAAGACAGTCTCTTGTCTTCAGGATTAAATTATAAAAGATATAACACCAAAGGGGTGGTGGAGGAGGCACATTAAAAAACAGCCTTGTGCAACAGGAAACCAGCAGTTCTGAGTTGGATGCTAAAGGAACTGGAGTTTCTATCCCTTTGGACAGAAGACAGGTACAGCTGTGGCACAAATTTGAAGGAAGTATGGCGTGAGGCAAAGGATGGGGGAGAATTGAAAGGTTTCAGGCACAAGTGAATGGAAAGGCTCCTGCAGCACTGTAGTTAGATGAGTGACGTGTGTGAGAGAAGGAAGAATTATGAAGACTTTAATTTGTAACCACTGAAGAGTCATGACGGTGCAGTGATTAGGAGCATGGGCCTAGGACTCAGATGACCTGGGTTCCAGTCCCCACTTGTCCATGGACCCAACTGGGTGACTTTGGGCCGGTCACAGATTCTCAGGCTGGCAGGACCCCCTAGAACTGCCACCCTCTGGAGCGCCATCTTGGCCAAAGGAGTTTCCAGCACCACTCCTCAGCAATCCTGCCAGGCTGACTTGGCTGCCTCTGAGGGAGTCCTCCCTCAGAGGCAAGCCTGTCTGTAGGGGCAAGCTCTTGGGACGCTCCCTTCTTTACTTGGACCTGAGGAAGGAGCCCCTCCAAACCAGCGAGTTCAGCCGGGCAGGCTTTGCAAAGAGCCATGCATGCCTCATAGCCTGGCTATAAGGGTAAGAGATAAAGGGAAGGGTGGATGTGATGGGATACAGGTAAGGCTGAGGAATGTGATAGAGCAAGAGCGACGGAGGGAGGGTGCATGAAGGGGAGGCAGATGCCATAGTGGGAAGGAAAAGGTGGGGAATACAAGGGGTCGCTTTTGTGGAAGCACCTGTGTCGCTGGGCAGCTTGCCCTGGGACTGGCACAAACGGCACTTGGCTTTGGGGGATTTTTCTTTATAAAAACAGCAACCTTACTAACTTCCTAATTTTAACCACATTCACTGCGACTGGTGGAATTTGTACTTCAACAGCAGCAGGTTGCAGGTTACCCAACTGACAAACATTACAAGATGAGGCAGTAAGAAAAGCACTCTTTTTCATAAGATCTCTTCCGGAGTATTATGTCCAGTTCTTTGCTCTACTATGCCAGGGCCTTATATTGCCTTATATTAATGATATCAGCGGAAAGCTAAAAGGATAAAAGGTACTTAGATAGCTTTTGTGTCCAAAAAGGCAAGGAAAAGTAGATCTATTATCCTTAGGAAAAACGGAACACATTTTCATTTTTTTAAAAATCTGGGAAGATATCTGAAAAAAAAAACTGAGTAAAGAAATATGCTGAGAAACCCATGCAGACCTTAGTTTGAGTGTGGACAGATTTTGACCTCGTGCTATATGATTCTGGAGGACTGGTGGAGACCAAAACACTGATACTTGTGTTGTCAAACACAAAGAACAAGGAGTAGGAAATGTAGGCATATGATCAAAACTAAGTATCTGCTTCCTTTAGTTCTCCTCTCCATTCATTCTAACCTAAAGTGTTTCTTTTCCCTGTATCAGTCCAGTTACTTTTCTAGTTCACACTACCGCATGTTGAAATGTTGTCACTGTAGCCCTGCCCATGCCACCGAAACACCATCCAAATGTCTTTAATAAAAACTCCCTTGTACTACTTTTTATTTCTTAAATCTCTACCATGGTTTTTCTCTCCAAATGAGATTCAAGTTAGTTAACATGTTTAAAATATCATTAAAAATGGAGCCTAAATACAAATAGATCCTGAAGAACGTAAGATCAAATTCAGATCAAATAACTGGAGGGAACCTTGTAAGTCATTTAGTCTGGCTGTGCTCAATTCTGGAAACTTAGAGCATCCCCAACAATAACTGTTTCAAACACTGCTTGAAGACCTCTGAAAAGGAAGACCCCACCCTTTCTTGGGTAGTCTGCACTGCTGTATCAAGAATTACTGCTAATGTTCAGCAACTCATTAGATACAGCTCATTAGCTATAGTCCTGCACCCTGGAGTAGGAGAGAACAAGTTTTGGTCTCTGTATGACAGCACTACCCTTCTGGTATTTGAAGAGACCTATAATGCTTCCCTTAGCCTTCTGCACGGTAAACATTCAGTTTCTTCATCAGCCTTGCTTTCCATACTGCTGATCATCACTGCTGTCCCCCACCTGCTCCCATTGTCTGTGTTCTTAAAGTGTAATGCCCAGAATTCAACCTAAGAATAACCATTTTTCATCCTCCTCCTGAAAGTTGATACCACCCAGAGATACCATCCATGAACTTACACTAGCCCCTCCCTTGTCCATTATGTTGAGACAACACAAACATGGCCTGCCAAAACATTGCTGCCCAATAGGCCAGTTGCCTTTGGCCAGGTAAGACTGGGCATCACTTTGTCAGGATCCTTTGTCATTATTAAAGCGTCTGGGAGGTGGGCCAGCAATGAGGAGGCCTTCAAACCAAGGGTGTCTTAAGGTAGAGGCTGCATCCTTGCCACATTATTCTGTTCATTGAGCATAAAATATATTTTGTTGAATAATAAAAATTGAATAATATTAAAAGCTATAAATAGAATTATGCTTATAATTGTTTTACATAACAGACAAAAGTACAACACAGAATCACTTAACTGATGCTCAAATACCTATTCTAAGGGCTGATTTTCCATATGTGGAAACAAAAAATTCACCTGAAATCCTGTTTTATGCACATGATAACACAAACTTAAGTGTGCTTGAGACCTGTATTAGGTGACATTGTTGTGACACATTTTATGTAAAGTCATCAAATTGGGGGGGGGGGGCTTTTATTGATTTGCAGGGCATGTGTTTCCACGTTGCAATATCCGACCCTGGCAACAAGCCATGGTGCATTGACTGTTCCATGAACAACCCATGATGTACCCAATAGACAATTTGGCTCACCATGGGTTGTTGGCCCGTCACCGCTCCTTCTTCCCCTTCGCACTTGCCATGGGTATCCCAGGAGACATCACATGCCCATCACATACCTCTCCTGTCTGCACTATAATTACAAGCTGGCTTGCTTCACCCACCCCATCTTGTTTTCACTGTCTCCCTTTTTAGAATCTATATACCTGTATAGTTTCCCATCCATTTTTAGACATTTTCTAAATACCACTTTGTAAATGGAGCTTTACTTTTGACAGCTGTCAAATATAACTTCAGTTGTAAATGGAATAGCTCACATTTTTGCATTTTCATGAGGTGGTAGAATCTTGAGAACAAGTAAAGTGTGGACACATCACCCTCTCCCCCCCCCCCAACGTGAGGTTGTTGTCATGAAAGGAATGAAGGGAATGAAGAAGGCACCACTCCATTTTAATGAGCTTAGCTAAGAACACTTGTGTCTTTGTTACATCTCACAGCTCACCTTTTGACAGTTGTCAAATGGATTCAAAGGGGGAAACAAACTCACCTGGGAGCAATGGCTGGGGTGAGAACCTGCTGGATTATGCAAGCAGGTCCCCACAACACACAGCTGCAACCTCAGTCTCTCTGCTCCCTCACCCATGCAATGCTGGATGTCTGCCATTCCACAAGTGCAGGTGATTTAACTTCTTTTCTCCCCAGATATTTGCAAATGGGGCAAAAACATTTTTAAAACAGTGGTAGCCAAGGGCAGCCCCTCCAAGGTACTTCTGCTGTAGTTTGATTGGACTGTCTGTAAATGTCAACATGGGCGGTCATGAAAACCAG